CACCACAGTGTGTTACAAAAAACCGATTCTAAAACTTTAGAGATCTCCAGTGAATACTAGAAAGGACTGCCCTTTGCATCCAGCCTTTTACTGGGTTTTTTCGAACAAGTAGTAATATCCTTATCCAATTATCCATTAAAATCATATTTTTTTCAAAGTGCTTTAGGATTAAAACTGAGGTAAAAAACAGAGAAATTAAATTTAAAAAATTTTTTAAGTAGTAATTTGTCAAAGGGGATATTATCAAATTAAATTAATTACAGAAATCAAAATAAAATCAATCTCCCCGATTTCCCAAAAATATTGTGCTAAAAGCACATATCACATTTATAATTTTTAAGTACCCTCAGGTACATAACATTTAATAAGATATTACAAAAATGTCAATGTGTGTAGCGTATAAGGGCCTAAGTAGTTAGCTATTCTCAAGCTCGAATTAACTTTAAACAAATGACTGACAAAACCTCAAATAAACTAACTTCTTTACCAAATGGCAACCCGAACAGCTGCAAACAAAAAAAGAATGCTAAAACCCCAAAGCAATCAAAATCAAGCGACGCGACACAAAAATCAGGGGAAATGGGAAAAATATAAAGACACTAATAGGGACCATCGCAGATCCCCACAAGACAAAACTCCCATAAAACTGAACAAAGTTCAGCATAGGTAAAACTGTGACTGTGCAATACAAGGGAAACCCTACAAAATTAGGGCAGAACTTAGCAAGGCCTGAGATATTCAGAGTGTCTAACGACACACAACCTCATACAACCGAAAATCACAAGCTTTACAATGTTTTGTGAACAAAATTTTACAGAACTAACAAGAAGTGACGACAACGTCCAAAACCCCAAAAGGGACTCCGCAGACGACTACTTTACAGAGGTAAGGGCACCCCCCCCCTCGACACGTGAAGCACGTGGGCAACTGCAGCTCAGAACCGGGATAAACGACGACAAACGATAATTACAGTAGTTTCAACAAACTAACTGAGCACATTTTATGACACCTAAAACATAACAAATAACAATTAACAGTCAAATAAAATATAAAGTCATAATTTTCTTTACATTATCGCAAATATAACTTTTTAAAAATTAAATGAAAAGGGAATAACTTATAATATACTAATAATCATTTTAACCCATTCAGGGGGGGCAACACAGTGCCACAAGCACCACACTGCCACAACACAACACTGCCACAAGCACCCACTGCCACAAGCACCACAGTCCCAAGCACCACAGTGCCACAATTACCCAGTGGGCCCAAGCACCAAGTCCCAAACACCACAGTGCCCAAGCCCACGTGCCACAAGCACCACATGGGGGGGGGGGGGGGGGGGGGGGAAAGTGCCCCAAGCACCACACTCCACAAGCACCACATGCCACAAGCCCACACTGCCACAAGCACCACAGCCACAAGCAACACATGCCGACCCCAAAAAACACCACACGCCACAAGCACCACAGCCACAAGCACCAATGCCCAACAACACACGCCACAAGCACCCCCTGGGGCCCCAAAGCACCACACGCCACAAGACCACACTGCCACAACACCCACTGCCCAAACACCACACCCACAAAACACCCCAGTGCCCCAAGCACCACAGTGCCACAACCCACCTGCCACAAGCACCCCACCCACAAGCACCAAAAAATGCCACAACACCACACTGGGGGGGGGGGGGGGCCCCAAGCACCACATGCCACAAGCACCCACGCAACAAGCACCCCACTGCCACAAGCACACACGCCCAAGCCCCCCACTGCCACAAACACCACACGCCACAAGCCCACAAGCCACAACACCACACTGCCACAAGCAAACCCCACTGCCACAAGCACCACACTGCCAAACACCACACTGCCCCAAGCACCACCTGCCCCAAAAAGAAAAAAACCACAGTGCCACAAGCACCACACTGCCACAAGCACCACACTGCCACAAGCACCACACTGCCACAAGCACCACACTGCCACAAGCACCACACTGCCACAAGCACCACACTGCCACAAGCACCACACTGCCACAAGCACCACAGTGCCACAAGCACCACACTGCCACAAGCACCACAGTGCCCAAAAACCCACACTCCACAAGCCCCCCCCACACTGCCACAAGCACCACACGCCACAAACACCACACTGCAAAGCACCCCTGCCCAACACCAACTGCCAAAAACACCACACGGGCCACAACACCACAGCCACAAGCACCCCATGCCACAAGCACCACATGCCACAAGCACCACATGCCACAACACCAATGCCACAACACCACACTGCCAAAGCACCACACTGCCACAAACACCACACTGCCACAAAGCCCACACGCAAAAAGCACCACCTGCCACAAGCACCACACGCCACAACACCACATGCCACAAGCCCAAAACTGCCCCAACACCACCTGCCCCAAGCACCACCTGCCACAAACACCACACCCCACAAAACACCACACGCCACAACACCAAAGGACCACACTGCCACAAGCAACCCTCCCGCACAACCCCCACAAAACCACTGGGCCCCAAGCACCACACTGCCACAAACACCACATGCCACAAGCCCACACGCCACAAGCACCACACTGCCACGCACCACACGCACAAGCACCACACTGCCCCGCACCACACTGCAGAGCACCCCCTGCCCCGCACCACACGCCACAGCACCACATGCCACAACAACCACACTGCCACAAGCACCACATCCACAAAAACCACCCCCCAGCCCAAGAAAAACCACACTGCCACAAAACCAACGCCACAACACCACCGCCACAAGCACCACACGCCACAAGACCCACTGCCACAAGCACCACACGCCCCAAACACCACCGCCACAAGACACACATGCCCCAAGCACCCCACTGCCACAAGCACCCCACTGCCACAACACCCACACTGCCACAAGCACCACACTGCCACAACACCACCCTGCCACAAACACCCACGCCAAAGACCCCAAGCCCCAACACCACGGCCCCAAGCACCACCTGCCACAAGCACCACACTGCCACAAGCACCACATGCCCCAAGCCCACATGCCCCAAGACCACATCCACAAGCACCACATGCCCCAAGGGGACCACAGTGCCACAAGCACCACATGCCACAAAACCCCCCCACAAAACTGCCCCAAGCCCCCACATGCCACAAGCCCCACACGCCACAAGCACCACCTGCCCCAAACCCCACTGCCCCAAGCAAACCACGGCCACAACAACACGCCACAAGCACCAACTGCCACAAGCACCACACTGCCCCAAACAACCCCCCCACAAAAAACCCCGGGCCACAAAACACCACGGGCCACAAGCACCACAGTGCCAAAAGCACCAAACTGCCCACAAGCACCCCAATGCCACAACACCACACTGCCACAACACCACAACTGCACAAGACCACCTGCCCCCAAGCAAACCACACTGCCACAAACACCACAGTGCCACAAGCAAAATCACATGCCCCCAAGCACCACACTGCCACAAAACACCACATGCCACAAAAACACCACAGCCACAACACCCACACTTCCACAAGCAACCACACGCCACAAAACACCACACTGCCACAAGCACCACAGGGCCACAAAACAACCACCCGGGACAACAACCACATGCCACAACCCACATGGCCACAAAAAACCCCCCAAACACCCAGCCCAAAAACCCCACCACAGGGCCCCAACACCACAGTGCCACAACCCACACTCCCAAAAAGCACCACAGTGCCACAAAACACCACACTGCCAAAAACACACCCTGCCCACAAGCACCACACTGCCCCAAACACCACAGGGCCCCAAAAACCCCCACAGAGCCAAACACCAAAAGCCACAAACCACCGGCCACAAAAACCAATCCACAAAACCAAAAATGCCACAAGCCCCCAAGGGTGGGCCCCAAAATCACCACACTGCCACAAACACCAAACCCACAAGCCCACAAAGTCCCCCAAGCCCCACATGCCAAACCAACAACCCCCCACTTGCCACAAGCACCACCTCCACAAGCACCACAACTGCCACAAACCCACACTGCCACAAAAACCACATCCACACGCCCCACAATCCACAAGCACCAACGCCAAACACCCCACTGCCCCAAAAACACCACATCCCCAAAAAAAAGGGAAATCCCCAAAACACCAAGTCCCCAAACACCCCTGCCCAAAGAACCCCCAGGAAAACCCCCACACTGCCACCAAGACCACCAGTTTCCACAAGCACCAAACACTCCCCGCCCCACGGGCCACAAGCACCCCCCCGGAACCAAACATTATTCTTAAAAGATATTGTATAATATTTCCCCAAATTAAAATCTATAAATCTTCTTTAAAAAATTTAAAACCTTTTCCTTGTTTCTTAATGTTCCCATTAATTTTACATTGGGGTGTGTGTGTGTTTTTTTTTTTGTTTGTTTTTTGTGTTTATTGTTTGTTTTGGTTTGAGGGGGCGATTAAAACTCCCCGGCCCCCCTCTTCACTGTCGCTACTGGTCCCTCCCTGCCGAACTTTATCATACCCCTCTTAAAACTATGTATGGTCCGCCCCACTACATCCTTTTCCCAAAAAAATTCCACTTTCCACTATTGTGGCTAAGAAAAACTTTTAAATCCCCTATTCATCTTTTTCAATTAATGTTCCCCTTTTTACTGGGTTTTCCCAATCTCTGGAACTTCTGTTTTTGGTGTGGGTTGGTGGGGTGTTGGGGGTGTGGTTGGTGTGTTTGGGTGTGTGGTGTGGGGTGTTTGTTTCTCACCTTTGATTAATGGGCCAACTTGGCCCCCTTTTACGACCGCATGGGTCCCCCACTCCCTGCTCCTGATTTACAAACCTGTTTTTAAATAGAGTTTCCGCCCCACCATCACTCCCAGACTACCACTTCCTAAAAAAACCCTTTTGGGGGTGTGGTGTTTAAAATGTAAAATTACTCAATTAAATCAGATAATTTCATCACTGTTCATTAATGTTAATCCTTAATATTCACCAGTGTTCATCTTCAATGTTCATCCTCAGTATTTATCTTCAGTGTTCATCCTGAGTGTTGATCTACAGGTGGTGGAGTGCCTACCAGTGCCAGTGCCACTGGGTCGCCAGGTGGTCCGTGGTAAAGGAGGTCGAGTCACAGACTGGAAGGACTGGTTCACCCATCACACTGTCATTCATGACAACATTAGTGCCACTGTGGGACTGATCTCCCAGTGGTGGCACTACACTGGTCTAGCTCACCCAGGTCAGTCTTGATAAATTAGACACATGTGCAACCCTTGGGTATCTTTATTGAGGAAACGTTTCGCCACTCAGTGGCTTCATCAGTCATACAAAGGAGAATCTTGAAGAACAGGAGAATGAGGCAATCAGTCCCTCAACCTTGAGTCGATGTGGTCAGTCCATCAATCTTGAATAGAATACCTTCTCCTGCAGAGAAACAGCTTATAAACCGTAGGCAGGAGAGGTGCAGCAGTCGTAGGTGGTGTCACATTTGTCCAATGTGGAAGTAGGTCGTGCCCAAGAATTAGGCAAGTGAAGAATTCCCAAGTATTAAGATCCCAAGAAGTTGCAGTGTCTGACAGGAATGTAGATGAATGGTTCACAGAACCGACACGTTGATAAATTAGACACATGTGTAACTCTTGGGTATCCTTATTGAGGAAACGTTTCGCCACACGTTTCCTCAATAAAGATACCCAAGGGTTGCACATGTGTCTAATTTATCAACGTGTCGGTTCTCTGAACCATTCATCTACAGGTCAGTCTTACCTGTGGTGGCACTACACTGGTCTAGCTCACCCAGGTCAGTCTTACCAGTGGTGGCACTACACTGGTCTAGCTCACCCAGGTCAATCTTACCAGTGGTGGCACTACACTGGTCTAGCTCACCCAGGTCAATCTTACCAGTGGTGGCACTACACTGGTCTAGCTCACCCAGGTCAGTCTTACCAGTGGTGGCACTACACTGGTCTAGCTCACCCAGGTCAGTCTTACCAGTGGTGGCACTACACTGGTCTAGCTCACCCAGGTCAGTCTTACCAGTGGTGGCACTACACTGGTCTAGCTCACCCAGGTCAGTCTTACCAGTGGTGGCACTACACTGGTCTAGCTCACCCAGGTCAATCTTACCAGTGGTGGCACTACACTGGTCTAGCTCACCCAGGTCAGTCATATCAGTGGTAATACTGACCTGGGTGCTTAGCATGGGAGGCTAGTAAGGGCCCAGGGGCCCATGCTAACCTCCCCATGGTGTATAAATATACCTAGTTGGATGAATCTTTTTGTAGCCAGCTGGTCCAGTGGTTTACGCACTGGCCTGAAGTTTTACGACTCACTCGTCATGGGTTCTAACCCCACCCGTACCCTGGTTTATTTGCAATCGTGTTACTACGATTTCATGAGTCAAAATATGCCATTAATGGTGTATGCGAGCGGCACCTTACTATATATTTCCACAGTTACAAACAGGACCTTAAATCTGGTAAATATATATAAAAATTTGTGTTTTGATTGGTTGGTTAAGGGGGGTTTAAAGCCTATCGACTACACTAGAGGACCATTAAGGTTGTACCTAAGTTTTTCACCACCAGTCAAGAATACTTTTATTCTTTAAGAAGGGATTAATGGAATCTCTCATTTGATATACACCGAGAAGTATACACCTTCTGGTGTATTTGATATACACCGAGAAGTATACACCTTCTGGTGTATTTGATATACACCGAGAAGTATACACCTTCTGGTGTATTTGATATACACCGAGAAGTATACACCTTCTGGTGTATTTGATATACACCGAGAAGTATACACCTTCTGGTGTATTTGATATACACCGAGAAGTATACACCTTCTGGTGTATTTGATATACACCGAGAAGTATACACCTTCTGGTGTATTTGATATACACCGAGAAGTATACACCTTCTGGTGTATTTGATATACACCGAGAAGTATACACCTTCTGGTGTATTTGATATACACCGAGAAGTATACACCTTCTGGTGTATTTGATATACACTGAGAAGTATACACCTTCTGGTGTATTTGATATACATCGAGAAGTATACACCTTCTGGTGTATATTTGATATACACTGAGAAGTATACACCTTCTGGTGTATTTGATATACACCGAGAAGTATACACCTTCTGGTGTATTTGATATACACCGACGAAGTATACACCTGGTATATATTTGATATACACTGAGAAGTATACACCTTCTGGTGTATATTTGATATACACTGAGAAGTATACACCTTCTGGTGTATATTTTATATACACAGTATACACCTTCTGGTGTATATTTGATATACACCGAGAAGTATACACCTTCTGGTGTATATTTGATATACACTGAGAAGTATACACCTGGTATATATTTGATATACACTGAGAAGTATACACCTTCTGGTGTATATTTTATATACACAGAAGTATGCACCTTCTGGTGTATATTTGATATACACCGAGAAGTATACACCTTCTGGTGTATATTTGATATACAATGAGAAGTATACACCTTCTGGTGTATATTTGATATACACTGAGAAGTATACACCTTCTGGTGTATTTGATATACACCGAGAAGTATACACCTTCTGGTGTATTTGATATACACCGAGAAGTATACACCTTCTGGTGTATTTGATATACACCGAGAAGTATACACCTTCTGGTGTATTTGATATACACCGAGAAGTATACACCTTCTGGTGTATTTGATATACACCGAGAAGTATACACCTTCTGGTGTATTTGATATACACTGAGAAGTATACACCTTCTGGTGTATTTGATATACATCGAGAAGTATACACCTTCTGGTGTATATTTGATATACACTGAGAAGTATACACCTTCTGGTGTATTTGATATACACCGAGAAGTATACACCTTCTGGTGTATTTGATATACACCGAGAAGTATACACCTGGTATATATTTGATATACACTGAGAAGTATACACCTTCTGGTGTATATTTGATATACACTGAGAAGTATACACCTTCTGGTGTATATTTTATATACACAGTATACACCTTCTGGTGTATATTTGATATACACCGAGAAGTATACACCTTCTGGTGTATATTTGATATACACTGAGAAGTATACACCTGGTATATATTTGATATACACTGAGAAGTATACACCTTCTGGTGTATATTTTATATACACAGAAGTATGCACCTTCTGGTGTATATTTGATATACACCGAGAAGTATACACCTTCTGGTGTATATTTGATATACAATGAGAAGTATACACCTTCTGGTGTATATTTGATATACACTGAGAAGTATACAACCTTCTGGTGTATATTTGATATACACTGAGAAGTATACACCTTCTGGTGTATATTTGATATACACTGAGAAGTATACACCTTCTGGTGTATATTTGATATACACTGAGAAGTATACACCTTCTGGTGTATATTTGATATACACTGAGAAGTATACACCTTCTGGTGTATATTTGATATACACTGAGAAGTATACACCTTCTGGTGTATATTTGATATACACTGAGAAGTATACACCTAGTGTATGTCTGTTGAGTAATGACTTAGTGTGTCACCTGCAAAGTTTAAAGTTTTTCCCCGAGAAACAATATAATAATAATATATTATTATTGTTATTATCATTGTTATTATTATTGTTGTTCTTGTAAATAATAATAATAATAATTTATTATTCTTGTTAATACTATTAATAAATTATTATTATTATTATTATTATTATTATTATTATTATTATTATTATTATTATTATTATTATTATTATTATTATTATTAATGTTTCGGTATGTGCTGGAACAATATAACTTGTCTCTTGATAATGGTCCATGACGGACAGAAATATCGCCTGAAGTTTTCTTTTCAAATTGTAAGTTAATTATGTACTGGTACTGCCACATGACTGTGTTGTGTTGCAGGTGAGGCTTCACTGCAGGCCTCCCTGGAGAGGATCGTCACGAACGTGTTCAGTACAGTACTCACTATAGGTCACTGTCCCTTCTGGTTCCCCTCACTCACCTCTACACTCCATCAGTACAACGAGATACACATTCACTTGCTGGGTGCTGACGAGCCGGAGGTGGGAGCTGTTGAATCTGGACTCATGCAGGTACCTTAGTTGCTTCCGTCAGGAACTATTTTAGTGAGCAGACTTGAACCATTTGTGAGAAGTCGCAAGACTTCACATTTCCTGTCAAATCACTTCAGTCAACTTGGTTGAAATTAAAATCTTTCATTAAAAATATATTTTCTTCTACAGATATCTTTTTAATTTACTTCTATAGCAGTGCACTGCCGTCACTGTCTTGGTAAATCATATATCTACGATCAAATTTTCACGTCATCCAGAAAATTGCAACCGAGCAGATTCTGCGTGTGTCCTTTGCACTTGTTGCGCAAGTGTTTCAGTCTTCAAACTTGAAATATATATATATATATATATATATATATATATATATATATTATATATATATATATATATATATATATAATATATATATATATATATAACAAGTCGGCCGTCTCCCACCGAGGGAGGGAGACCCAAAAAGAAAGAAAATTCCCAAAAGTACTTTCATCATCATTCAACACTTTCACCTCACTCACACATAATCACTGTTTTTGCAGAGGTGCTCAGAGAGGAAGTCTGCCTCGCCTCTCATGTCTCTGTTTCTTGACTACTTTCTTTATTCTTATCAGTAACTATCTTACAAGTTATCTTGTTTTCTAACAGTTTTATTAAACCATTTTGTGTCTTCTGTCCCAAACACACCAACCTATTTTTTTTCTTTGCAAATCCCCAAACTTGGATCTTCCATCAGCTTGAAGGTTGACACTCTCCAATAACGTCTTCATTAACTAATTTTTTTGCAATAGATATTTTTCTAGTTGTCGATAAATGGAATTTCATTTTTTTGTAGTATTTGTTCTGGCAATAATTTATACCGATTTCCCCTCGGCATCCATTAACTGCCCTCTTATCTTCTAGGAAAAATGCTGCTTGTAATCGAAATTCCTCCCTTTGACCTGACAAAATATATTGGTATTCTGAAGTTGGTAAGCATCTCAACTCTCCTGCATTCCCTAACATCATTGCCTCTCTCTCCTGCATTCCCTAACATCACTTCCTCTCTCTCTCCTGCATTCCCTAACATCACTGCCTCTCTCTCCTGCATTCCCTAACATCATTGCCTCTCTCTGCTGCATTCTCTAACATCACTGCCTCTCTCTCCTGCATTCCCTAACATCACTACCTCTAGCGCCGAGATAGATAATGAGGTTGTTATCATTACCTGAAATAATCATGTTATGTAGTGGCTATATCACTGACACCAGTCCCCAGGGGACACAGTCTCGCCCTCTCATCACTCTGTAGTGGCTATATCACTGACACCAGTCCCCAGGGGACACAGTCTCGCCCTCTCATCACTCTGTAGTGGCTATATCACTGACACCAGTCCCCAGGGGACACAGTCTCGCCCTCTCATCACTCCTACACAAAGTCCTCTCCGTGTATCTGGCCAATAAGTTTCCAATAATAAGCAAATTCTTATCTTTACACACGTGGAAATTTTTGTTCTACCCATTTTCTTGTCGGTAACTGTACGTTCATCCTGAAGAACAGCAAAGTTATTTCCGTTCTTCAAGTCTGGTTCTTCATCCTTTTTTCCCTGGCAACCTAAATTTTCACTCATCAATGGTCACTTCACATTCATTATTACACTTCCTCTTCTTCTTATACTAACGAATTTCTAATTTCTAACTTTCTTCCCTGCAGATTCGAACCTTATCCATTATAACTCAATTCTGTTTCTAAATCACAACAATTCTCCTCAAGGTTAACGCGCAAGACATGGTTCAAGGACTCCAGTGAAAATAAGTCACTGACTTCTTTTTTGGGGTTATTCTAGGTAATTTACACCTTGTACTTATGTGTAACTGTGCATAAATAAACTCACTAAAGTTAGTAAATTATAACACACCAACCTAGATTTCTCAAACCGTTCCACGGGCGGAGATAGAACCAGCGATCAGAAAGTTTTAAAACTCTCAATACACTAGACTATAGAGGTTCAGAAAACTTCCTTTTACTACTGACCTCTGAGTTCAGGACGTGCTGGCTTCAAGGCCACCTTAGTTACACTGATGATGATACACGCGGGATGTTGTTTATCATTCAGGTGTTTACTGGGTTTTGCAGGTGGCGAGCCGGGTGTTGGGGCGCCCGATTGTGGTGACGCTGGTAGCGCCAGACCTGGCCCACCACCCTCAGACCTTCTCATGGACGCCCACACGCCCACACCAGGTCAGTCACATTGGTACCCTGTCACTCATCAACCGTAGTTCAGTCACCCCTCAGTAACAGAACAGTCACCCTCAGTAACAGAACAGTCACCCTCAGCAACAGTACAGTCACCCTCAGTAACAGAACAGTCACCCTCAGTAACAGAACAGTCACCTTCAGTAACAGTACAGTCACCCTTAGTAACAGAATAGTCACCCTCAGTAACAGAACAGTCACCCTCAATAACAGTACAGTCACCCTCAACAGTGGTGACTGTGACCTAACACTGTACCTCCACCTCAACAGTGGTGACTGTGACCTAACACTGTACCTCCACCTCAACACTGATGTTAGGATCCAATACTTGACAGTGTTAAGGAAAATATCGCTTGAAAAGACCAAACCTTGGAGAAAATCTTCGTGAAAATTATAACAGACACCCACCTTGTATAACAGACACCCACCTTGTATAACAGACACCCACCTTGTATAACAGACACCCACCTTGTATAACAGACACCCACCTTGTATAACAGACACCCCACCTTGTATAACAACACCCACCTTGTATAAACAGACACCCACCTTGTATAACAGACACCCACCTTGTATAACAGACACCCACCTTGTATAACAGACACCCACCTTGTATAACAGACACCCACCTTGTATAACAGACACCCACCTTGTATAACAGACACCCACCTTGTATAACAGACACCCACATTGTATAACAGACACCCACCTTGTATAACAGACACCCACCTTGTATAACGGACACCCACCTGTATAACAGACACCCACCTTGTATAACAGACACCCACCTTGTATAACAGACACCCACCTTGTATACAGACACCCACCTTGTATAACAGACACCCACCTTGTATAACAGACACCCACCTTGTATAACAGACACCCACCTGTATAACAGACACCCACCTTGTATAACAGACACCCACCTTGTATAACAGACACCCACCTTGTATAACAGACACCCACCTTGTATAACAGACACCCACCTTGTATAACAGACACCCACCTTGTATAACAGACACCCACCTTGTATAACAGACACCCACCTTGTATAACAGACACCCACCTTGTATAACAGACCCCCACCTTGTATAACAGACACCCACCTTGTATAACAGACACCAACATTGTATAACAGACACCCACCTTGTATAACAGACACCCACCTTGTATAACGGACACCCACCTTGTATAACAGACACCCACCTTGTATAACAGACACCCACCTTGTATAACAGACACCCACCTTGTATAACAGACACCCACCTTGTATAACAGACACCCACCTTGTATAACAGACACCCACCTTGTATAACAGACACACCTTGTATAACAGACACCCACCTTGTATAACAGACACCCACCTTGTATAACAGACACCCACCTTGTATAACAGACACCCACCTTGTATAACAGACACCCACCTTGTATAACAGACACCCACCTTGTATAACAGACACCCACCTTGTATAACAGACACCCACCTTGTATAACAGACACCCACCTTGTATAACAGACACCCACCTGTATAACAGACACCCACCTTGTATAACAGACACCCACCTTGTATAACGGACATCCACCTTGTATAACAGACACCCACCTTGTATAACAGACACCCACCTTGTATAACAGACCCCCACCTTGTATAACAGACACCCACCTTGTATAACGGACACCCACCTTGTATAACAGACACCCACCTTGTATAACAGACACCCACCTTGTATAACAGACACCCACCTTGTATAACAGACACCCACCTTGTATAACGGACACCCACCTTGTATAACGGACACCCACCTTGTAAACAGACACCCACCTTGTATAACAGACACCCACCTTGTATAACAGACACCCACCTTGTATAACAGACACCCACCTTGTATAACAGACACCCACCTTGTATAACAGACACACACCTTGTATAACAGACACCCACCTTGTATAACAGACACCCACCTTGTATAACAGACACCCACCTTGTATAACAGACACCCACCTTGTATAACAGACACCCACCTTGTATAACAGACACCCACCTTGTATAACAGACACCCACCTTGTATAACAGACACCCACCTTGTATAACGGACACCCACCTTGTATAACGGACACCCACCTTGTATAACAGACACCCACCTTGTATAACAGACACCCACCTTGTATAACAGACACCCACCTTGTATAACAGACACCCACCTTGTATAACAGACACCCACCTTGTATAACAGACACCCACCTTGTATAACAGACACCCACCTTGTATAACAGACACCCACCTTGTATAACGGACACCCACCTTGTATAACGGACACCCACCTTGTATAACGGACACCCACCTTGTATAACAGACACCCACCTTGTATAACAGACACCCACCTTGTATAACGGACACTCACCTTGTATAACGGACACTCACCTTGTATAACGGACACCCACCTTGTATAACAGACACCCACCTTGTATAACAGACACCCACCTTGTATAACAGACACCCACCTTGTATAACAGACACCCACCTTGTATAACAGACACCCACCTTGTATAACAGACACCCACCTTGTATAACAGACACCCACCTTGTATAACAGACACCCACCTTGTATAACGGACACCCACCTTGTATAACGGACACCCACCTTGTATAACAGACACCCACCTTGTATAACAGACACCCACCTTGTATAACAGACACCCACCTTGTATAACAGACACCCACCTTGTATAACAGACACCCACCTTGTATAACAGACACCCACCTTGTATAACAGACACCCACCTTGTATAACAGACACACACCTTGTATAACAGACACCCACCTTGTATAACAGACACCCACCTTGTATAACAGACACCCACCTTGTATAACAGACACCCACCTTGTATAACGGACACCCACCTTGTATAACAGACACCCACCTTGTATAACAGACACCCACCTTGTATAACAGACACCCACCTTGTATAACAGACACCCACCTTGTATAACGGACACCCACCTTGTATAACAGACACCCACCTTGTATAACGGACACCCACCTTGTATAACAGACACCCACCTTGTATAACAGACACCCACCTTGTATAACAGACACCCACCTTGTATAACAGACACCCACCTTGTATAACAGACACCCACCTTGTATAACAGACACCCACCTTGAATAACAGACACCCACCTTGTATAAAAGACACCCACTTTGTATAACAGACACCCACCTTGTATAACAGACACCCACCTTGTATAACAGACACCCACCTTGTATAACAGACACCCAACTTGTATAACAGACACCCACCTTGTATAACAGACACCCACCTTGTATAACAGACACTCACCTTGTATAACAGACACCCACCTTGTATAACGGACACCCACCTTGTATAACAGACACACACCTTGTATAACAGACACCCACCTTGTATAACAGACACACACCTTGTATAACAGACACCCACCTTGTATAAACGGACACCTACCTTGTATAAGAGACACCCACCTTGTATAACGGACACCCACCTTGTATAAGAGACACCTACCTTGTATAAGAGACACCCACCTTGTATAACAGACACCCACCTTGTATAACAGACACCCACCTTGTATAAGAGACACCCACCTTGTATAACGGACACCCACCTTGTATAACAGACACCCACCTTGTATAACAGACACCCACCTTGTATAACAGACACCCACCTTGTATAACAACACCCACCTTGTATAACAGACACCCACCTTGTATAACGACATCCACCTTGTATAACGGACATCCACCTTGTATAACAGACAACCCACCTTGTATAACAGACACCCACCTTGTATAACAGACCCCCACCTTGTATAACAGACACCCACCTTGTATAACGGACACCCACCTTGTATAACAGACACCCACCTTGTATAACAGACACCCACCTTGTATAACAGACACCCACCTTGTATAACAGACACCCACCTTGTATAAGAGACACCCACCTTGTATAACGGACACCCACCTTGTATAACAGACACCCACCTTGTATAACAGACACCCACCTTGTATAACAGACACCCACCTTGTATAACAGACACTCACCTTGTATAACAGACACCCACCTTGTATAACGGACACCCACCTTGTATAACAGACACACACCTTGTATAACAGACACCCACCTTGTATAACAGACACACACCTTGTATAACAGACACCCACCTTGTATAACGGACACCTACCTTGTATAAGAGACACCCACCTTGTATAACGGACACCCACCTTGTATAAGAGACACCTACCTTGTATAAGGGACACCCACCTTGTATAACAGACACCCACCTTGTATAACAGACACCCACCTTGTATAAGAGACACCCACCTTGTATAACGGACACCCACCTTGTATAACAGACACCCACCTTGTATAAGAGACACCCACCTTGTATAAGAGACACCCACCTTGTATAACAGACACCCACCTTGTATAACAGACACCCACCTTGTATAACAGACACCCACCTTGTATAACAGACACCCACCTTGTATAACGGACATCCACCTTGTATAACAGACACCCACCTTGTATAACAGACACCCACCTTGTATAACAGACCCCCACCTTGTATAACAGACACCCACCTTGTATAACGGACACCCACCTTGTATAACGGACACCCACCTTGTATAACAGACACCCACCTTGTATAACAGACACCCACCTTGTATAACAGACACCCACCTTGTATAACAGACACCCACCTTGTATAACGGACACCCACCTTGTATAACGGACACCCACCTTGTATAACAGACACCCACCTTGTATAACAGACACCCACCTTGTATAACAGACACCCACCTTGTATAACAGACACCCACCTTGTATAACAGACACCCACCTTGTATAACAGACACCCACCTTGTATAACAGACACACACCTTGTATAACAGACACCCACCTGTATAACAGACACCCACCTTGTATAACAGACACCCACCTTGTATAACAGACACCCACCTTGTATAACAGACACCCACCTTGTATAACAGACACCCACCTTGTATAACAGACACCCACCTTGTATAACAGAACCCCACCTTGTATAACAGACACCCACCTTGTATAACGGACACCCACCTTGTATAACGGACACCCACCTTGTATAACGGACACCCACCTTGTATAACAGACACCCACCTTGTATAACAGACACCCACCTTGTATAACAGACACCCACCTTGTATAACAGACACCCACCTTGTATAACAGACACCCACCTTGTATAACGGACACCCACCTTGTATAACGGACGCCCACCTTGTATAACAGACACCCACCTTGTATAACAGACACCCACCTTGTATAACAGACACCCACCTTGTATAACAGACACCCACCTTGTATAACGGACACCCACCTTGTATAACGGACACCCACCTTGTATAACAGACACCCACCTTGTATAACAGACACCCACCTTGTATAACAGACACCTACCTTGTATAACGGACACCCACCTTGTATAACAGACACCCACCTTGTATAACAGACACCCACCTTGTATAACAGACACCCACCTTGTATAACAGACACCCACCTTGTATAACAGACACCCCACCTTGTATAACAGACACCCACCTTGTATAACAGACACCCACCTTGTATAAACAGACACCCACCTTGTATAACAGACACCCACCTTGTATAACATACACCCACCTTGTATAACAGACACCCACCTTGTATAACGGACACCCACCTTGTATAACGGACACCCACCTTGTATAACAGACACCCACCTTGTATAACAGACACCCACCTTGTATAACAGACACCCACCTTGTATAACGGACACCCACCTTGTATAACAGACACGCACCTTGTATAACAGACACCCACCTTGTATAACAGACACCCACCTTGTATAACAGACACCCACCTTGTATAACAGACACCCACCTTGTATAACAGACACCCACCTTGTATAACAGACACCCACCTTGTATAACAGACACCCACCTTGTATAACAGACACCCACCTTGTATAACAGACACCCACCTTGTATAACAGACACCCACCTTGTATAACAGACACCCACCTTGTATAACAGACACCCACCTTGTATAACGGACACCCACCTTGTATAACAGACACCCACCTTGTATAACAGACACCCACCTTGTATAACGGACACCCACCTTGTATAACGGACACCCACCTTGTATAACAGACACCCACCTTGTATAACAGACACCCACCTTGTATAACAGACACCCACCTTGTATAACAGACACCCACCTTGTATAACAGACACCCACCTTGTATAACAGACACCCACCTTGTATAACAGACACCCACCTTGTATAACAGACACCCACCTTGAATAACAGACACCCACCTTTATAAAAGACACCCACCTTGTATAACAGACACCCACCTTGTATAACAGACACCCACCTTGTATAACAGACACCCAACTTGTATAACAGACACCCACCTTGTATAACAGACACCCACCTTGTATAACAGACACTCACCTTGTATAACAGACACCCACCTTGTATAACGGACACCCACCTTGTATAACAGACACACACCTTGTATAACAGACACCCACCTTATATAACAGACACACACCTTGTATAACAGACACCCACCTTGTATAACGGACACCTACCTTGTATAAGAGACACCCACCTTGTATAACGGACACCCACCTTGTATAACAGACACCACCTTGTATAAGAGACACCCACCTTGTATAACAGACACCCCACCTTGTATAAGAGACACCCACCTTGTATAACGGACACCCACCTTGTATAACAGACACCCACCTTGTATAATAGACACCCACCTTGTATAAGAGACACCCACCTTGTATAAGAGACACCCACCTTGTATAACAGACACCCACCTTGTATAAGAGACACCCACCTTGTATAACGGACACCCACCTTGTATAACAGACACCCACCTTGTATAAGAGACACCCACCTTGTATAACGGACACCTACCTTGTATAAGACACTTTGTCGATTCTTTACCTCGTTATTATATTTAACATTTGTTTTTGACGCAGCTGTGTACTGGACGCAGCTGTGTGTACTGGACGCAGCTGTGTGTACTGGACGCAGCTGTGTGTACTGGACGCAGCTGTGTGTACTGGACGCAGCTGTGTGTACTGGACGCTGCTGTGTGTACTGGACGCAGCTGTGTGTACTGGACGCAGCTGTGTGTACTGGACGCAGCTGTGTGTGCTGGACGCTGCTGTGTGTACTGGACGTAGCTGTGTGTACTGGACGCAGCTGTGTGTACTGGACGCAGCTGTGTGTACTGGACGCAGTTGTGTGTACTGGACGCAGCTGTGTGTACTGGACGCAGCTGTGTGTACTGGACGCAGCTGTGTACTGGACGCAGCTGTGTGTACTGGACGCAGCTGTGTGTACTGGACGCAGCTGTGTGTACTGGACGCAGCTGTGTGTACTGGACACAGCTGTGTGTACTGGACGCAGCTGTGTGTACTGGACGCAGCTGTGTGGTACTGGACGCAGCTGTGTGTTACTGGACGCAGCTGTGTATACTGGACGCAGCTGTGTGTACTGGACGCCAGCTGTGTGTACTGGACGCAGTTGTGTGTACTGGACGCAGCTGTGTGTACTGGACGCAGCTGTGTGTACTGGACGCAGTTGTGTGTACTGGACGCAGCTGTGTGTACTGGACGCAGCTGTGTGTACTGGACGCAGTTGTGTGTACTGGACGCAGCTGTGACCGGAAACATTCTATATCTAATATATTTTTAACTTTAAGTTTAGTTCAAATATTCTCTCTACGTTTACGACATTTTCAAGTTTATAATTCGGAAAATTATTAATAACTGAAGAGAAATGAAAAATCTTGATGTGTGGTGACAATTTTCACATTGTTGTCAGGTAGCTCTGGAAATTTTAGAATTGAAGTTTAAGGGACATTAGGGGCCAGTATAAAAATATAAGAATGAGGAACACTGCAGTAGGCCTACTGGGCTATACTGGGTAAGTTATCCTGTAATCCAACCCCTTCCATCAAATTCAACTTCTCTGTTATAGTCGGAGGAGGAACTAAGTGACTACTGTGTTGTTATTACAACATTAATGACCAGTTATGAAGTTTAACACTGAGATGACGCCTCCACAAACATTTTTTTTCACAAATCAATTTTAGAGCCTAAGAGATGTTATCGTAAATCAGCCAACCCCCCAGGATGCCACCCACACCAGTAGACTAAAACTCAGGTACCTACTTACTGCTAAGTGAACAAGGGCAGCAGGTATAAGGAAACATGACAGCGTTTCCACCCTTGCCGGGGATCGAGCCACTTTTTGTGCCAACAGGTGGTGTATGTGTGTGTATGTACCTGTGTGGGTATGTTCAGGTGTGGGTATAACAAGTGGTGTAAATATATGTGGGTATGTGTATAAACAATTGGTGTTTCAGGTAACGTCGTCAGTGAGGGCGGTGACTTACTCTGGTCTCTACCACGACTTCTGGCGGGACCATCTTGCTACCAGTGACACTCACGCTCAGGTGAGCTGCACACTTATACAATTCATCTTATAATGATATTTAGCGTGTATAGGTGAAGGACGTCAGTGATGTGTTGTATGAAAATGAAACTGATAATGATGTGTTATCTCCAGGTGAGTCGACCCCAAGTGGCACTAGCTATCCACCCTGGAGTACACACGGATGAGATGCTGGTCCTGTGGAAGCCCACACTCCAGCTCCTGGCCTACGAGCACGTCCCTCTCGTCATGACCACCTACAACGAGGCAGAGTTTCACACCACACTCCAGGTACTCCCACTACAGTATAACTATGTTTCCTCTGCTGTATTTATACGTCTTCTGTGCCTTATTTATAAGGCATAAATACGTCTCGTCTAGTGTATTTGTGTTTTCTATCCTGAATTTATACATCTTTTTCATGTAAATACGTCTCATCTGCTGTGTAATACGCATCCCTTGGAATATTTATATGCTCCTATGCTATATTAATATATCTCTTGTTCATTTAATGTTTTCTCTGCTGTATAAATATGCCATATATTAGTTTCTGGAGTATGAAAACATTTCTTCAGGAAGGCAACAATGCTGTACCATAAATAATAAAGAATGTTGGAAGTTAATACCTAACCACTGGATACCGAGAATGTTTGTCTCCTCAGAAACTGGAGACTCTGCAAGCCAATGTGGTACACGGGGATGTGAACCCACTGCGCTCCCTCCATCTCAAGCAGACACCCTACGAGCCTGACCATGTGTGGGCAGCCAACTCCTACATCATTGCCATTGACAACAGCAGGACATCGTAGAACTGCCCCTCGACTTCTCTGGACCATCACCTGTCGGATCTGATTCCCCTTGTGCCGGATCAAGTTGCGTATTGTCCATGGAGTGAAAACAAAAGACACGAGTTGCAGAAACAAGCTTTAATTGTGACAAATATTAGCCTTTATTGCAATAAAAACCATTGTGCAACTTGCCATCAGTCTGCATTTGTAGCCAGAGTCCTAGACAAGTGTTGAGTAAGTGGCAGCACGCAACTTCATGTCGTCTTTCTCACAGAGTAATTCCAGAACCCAGAAAGTTGATATATTGTGTGAAAATTGTTCTTATATGAATGTAAAGATAGCGGTAGGAAGGTGCCGCACCACGGGGATCTCAACCAAAATTAACTTCCCGCAGTATGGGTGGGGTTAGAACCTACGGCGAGTGAGTCGTAAAACTCCAGGCCAGTGCGTAAGCCACTAGGTATACACCATAGGAAGGTTAGCATGGGCCACCACTGTGACCACAAATGTAAGTTACTAACCCCATCCATTCACTAGTTTGTTTGCAATCGTATTATAACAATTTCCTGAGTCAAAATTGACAAAATATATGGATATGCATTATTGAACAATCTGGAAAAAGTGATACAAGATGGAAAACAATCACGGGAAGATTTCAGTGATAGCTCTAGGCCTTTCGTGTTGCAGCCAACACTTTTTCAAAAGCTTGCAATGTTAAAAAGGGAATTCTATTCCCTCGTCAACATTGCAAACTCTTGAAAAAGTGCAACACGAAAGGCCTAGAGCTATCATTCTACTCCCACCGTGGTTGTTCATTTGAATATACACGCATGAAGCACGCTAGTAAATATGTGTTAGTGATTTCTGGCACTGTTTACCCTACATCCACTTACTCCTGACACCATATAACCCTAATTTTTAAAGGGGTGGAGGGGTAAGCCAGCGGAAGACCTCGGTCAGATGACCAATGTTCCAACTGGTGGTCATCATATGACTAAGACCCGCGCCAGGAAACACTTGTCCTTTTTCCTGACAAACCTTACGAGACCTAACCATATTGTAAATAATCGTAGACTTGTTGAAGGCTACTTTAGCAATGGAGGAAAGTAACACCAGTGGGGAGGGTGGCCGCAGGATCACTTACAGTGGTGAGATGAACAAGTGTTGGAAAACGTCAGTGAGGGGGCCGAGAGCTGTGTCTTCACCTGGACGACAACTCTATCATCAGTCATCTTTGAAAAGTTTGTTTTGTGATGTTGATGAGAGCATCTATAATGTCACAGTTTATTCCTTAAAGAAATATTATAAACCCTGGGTTTGTAAAACATTGTATCCCAGGGAAGAGTTCTTGGAGGGGCGATGTGCAAGTGCACTGGATACATAGTATACAAACAGAGGTTTATTCCTCTCATCGCATAAACGCTGACAGTTTACTTTAGGTTATGTGCAGTCTTAATGACCCTAGTGTAGTCAACAGGCTGTAAACCCCATCAACCAACCAACCAGCCAAGTGGACATGGGAGTATGAGATAGAATTACCATTATTTTATGGTTGTTGCGTTGAGTTACAACTTTATAAGAGAAGATTCTCACTGAGAGTGTTTACCAACACTGGATACTCAACAGTCTCTGTTTTGTTGACTGCGAATTCCTTGGCATCGTCTGAAGTTTTCTGGAATAAAACAGCGCTCCAGAAAACGACAAAGAAAATAGCATACATAGTAATGATTATCCTGTAGCCAATCTTGTTGATGAGGATCGGTCGAGAGTGTGGGTGCCTTTCGTTAACGTTAGTGACAGTCTTCTGAGAGCCCTCCGCTTCATTGAGGTGGACCATTTCAAGGATAGTGGTGGGTGAGGGAGACACCTTTGGTGAGCCGTAGTGATGGTTGCACTCCACCAGAGTGTGCACGAGGATGGTCAGGAAGGCGAAGACAATGGAACTGAAGAACCATACGTCTATCATCTTAAAGTAGGAGGTCTTGGGGAGGTTGTCGGAGATCTGGGAGAAGATGGTGGAGAGCACCAGCAGCGCCGTCAGCGACACCATGATACGGTTCTGGAAGTCGAACCACTTGAAGAGGAAGGTGCTGAAGGAGATGACGTTGATAAGTGTTGTTGGGATGAAGATGGTCACCACCTGCGGGAAATGGATGAGTTAGCCCTTATATTATATATATATATATATATATAATATATATATATATATATATAATATATATATATATATATATATATATAATATATATATAATATATAATAGGTTGGTAGACAGCAACCACCCAGGGAGGTACTACCGTCCTGCCAAGTGAGTGTAAAACGAAAGCCTGTAATTGTTTTACATGATGGTAGGATTGCTGGTGTCTTTTGTCTGTCTCATAAATATGCAAGATTACAGGCATGTCTTGCTACGTCTACTTACACTTAGGTCACACTACACATACATGCACACGTTTATTTATACACACTCATCTGAGTTTTCTTTGATTTTATCTTAATAGTTCTTGGTCTTATTACTTTTCCTTTTATATCCATGGGGAAGTGGAATAAGAATCTTTCCTCCGTAAGCCATGCGTGTTGTAAAAGTCAACTAAAATGCCGGGAACAATGAGCTAGTAACCCCTTTTCCTGTAAAGATTACTAAAAAGAATAAGAAGAAGAAAATTGTCAAAGTGGGAAGTCTGAATGTGCGTGGATGCTGTGCAAATGATAAGAAAGAGATGATTGTGGATGTTATGAATGAGAAGAAACTGGATGTCCTGGCTTTAAGTGAAACAAAGCTGAACGGGGTGGGAGAGTTTCAATGGAGAGGAATAAATGGGATTAGGTCAGGGGTTTCAAATAGAGTTAGAGCTAAAGAAGGAGCAGCAATAATGTTGAAGGATAAGCTATGACAGGAAAAGAGGGACTACAAATGTATTAATTCAAGGATTATGTGGAGTAAAATAAAGATTGGATGTGAAAAGTGGGTTATAGTAAGCGTGTATGCACCTGGAGAAGAGAGAAGTGTAGAGGAGAGAGAGAGATTTTGGGAAATGTTGAGTGAATGCGTGGGGAGTTTTGAATCAAGTGTAGATTAATGGTGGTTGGGGATTTCAATGCTAAAGTGGGTAAAAATGTTATGGAGGGAGTAGTAGGTAAATTTGGGGTGCCAGGGGTAAATGTAAATGGGGAGCCTTTAATTGAGCTATGTGTAGAAAGAAATTTGGTAATAAGTAATACATATTTTATGAAAAAAAAGGATAAATAAATATACAAGGTATGATGTAGCACGTAATGAAAGTAGTTTGTTAGATTATGTATTGGTGGATAAAAGGTTGATGGGTAGGCTCCAGGATGTACATGTTTATAGAGGGGTAACTGATGTATCAGATCATTATTTAGTTGTAGCTACAGTTAGAGTAAGAAGTAGATGGGAAAAGAGGAAGGTAGCAACAACAAGTAAGAGGGAGGTGAAAGTGTATAAACTAAGGGAGGAGGAAGTTCGGGCGAGATATAAGCGACTATTGGCAGAAAGGTGGGCTAGTGCAAAGATGAGTAGTGGGGGGGGGGGGGGTTGAAGAGGGTTGGAATAGTTTTAAAAATGCAGTATTAGAATGTGGGGCAGAAGTTTGTGGTTATAGGAGGGTGGGGGCAGGAGGAAAGAGGAGTGATTGGTGGAATGATGAAGAAAAGGGTGTGATAAAAGAGAAAAAGGTAGCTTATGAGAGGTTTTTACAAAGCAGAAGTGTTATAAGAAGAGCAGAGTATATGGAGAGTAAAAGAAAGGTGAAGAGAGTGGTGAGAGAGTGCAAAAGGAGAGCAGATGATAGAGTGGGAGAGGCACTGTCAAGAAATTTTAATGAAAATAAGAAAAAATTTTGGAGTGAGTTAAACAAGTTAAGAAAGCCTAGGGAAAGTATGGATTTGTCAGTTAAAAACAGAGTAGGGGAGTTAGTAGATGGGAGAGGGAGGTATTAGGTAGATGGCGAGAATATTTTGAGGAACTTTTAAATGTTGAGGAAGAAAGGGAGGCGGTAATTTCATGCACTGGCCAGGGAGGTATACCATCTTTTAGGAGTGAAGAAGAGCAGAATGTAAGTGTGGTGGAGGTACGTGAGGAATTACGTAGAATGAAAGGGGGTAAAGCAGCTGGAACTGATGGGATCATGACAGAAATGTTAAAAGCAGGGGGATATAGTGTTGGAGTGGTTGGTACTTTTGTTTAATAAATGTATGAAAGAGGGGAAGGTACCTAGGGATTGGCGGAGAGCATGTATAGTCCCTTTATATAAAGGGAAAGGGGACAAAAGAGATTGTAAAAATTATAGAGGAATAAGTTTACTGAGTATACCAGGAAAAGTATACGGTAGGGTTATAATTGAAAGAATTAGAGGTAAGACAGAATGTAGTATTGCGGATGAGCAAGGAGGCTTCAGAGTGGATAGGGGATGTGTAGATCAAGTGTTTACATTGAAGCATATATGTGAACAGTATTTAGATAAAGGTAGGGAAGTTTTTATTGCATTTATGGATTTAGAAAAGGCATATGATAGAATGGATATAGGAGCAATGTGGCAGATGTTGCAAGTATATGGAATAGGTGGTAAGTTACTAAATGCTGTTAAGAGTTTTTATGAGGATAGTGAGGCTCAGGTTAGGGTGTGTAGAAGAGAGGGAGACTACTTCCCGGTAAAAGTAGGTCTTAGACAGGGATGTGTAAAGTCACCATGGTTGTTTAATATATTTATAGATGGGGTTGTAAAGGAAGTAAATGCTAGGGTGTTTGGGAGAGGGGTGGGATTAAATTATGGGGAATCAAATTCAAAATGGGAATTGACACAGTTACATTTTGCTGATGATACTGTGCTTATGGGAGATTCTAAAGAAAAATTGCAAAGGTTAGTGGATGAGTTTGAGAATGTGTGTAAAGGTAGAAAGTTGAAAGTGAACATAGAAAAGAGTAAGGTGATGAGGGTATCAAATGATTTAGATAAAGAAAAATTGGATATCAAATTGGGGAGGAGGAGCATGGAAGAAGTGAATGTTTTCAGATACTTGGGAGTTGACGTGTCGGCGGATGGATTTGTGAAGGATGAGGTTAATCATAGAATTGATGAGGGAAAAAAGGTGAGTGGTGCGTTGAGGTATATGTGGAGTCAAAAAAACGTTATCTATGAAGGCAAAAAAGGGAATGTATGAAAGTATAGTAGTACCAACACTCTTATATGGGTGTGAAGCTTGGGTGGTAAATGCAGCAGCGAGGAGACGGTTGGAGGCAGTGGAGATGTCCTGTCTAAGGGCAATGTGTGGTGTAAATATTATGCAGAAAAATTCGGATTTTGGAAATTAGGAGAAGGTGTGGAGTTAATAAAAGTATTAGTCAGAGGGCAGAAGAGGGGTTGTTGAGGTGGTTTGGCCCATTTAGAGAAAATGGATGAAAGTAGAATGACATGGAAAGCATATAAATCTATAGGGGAAGGAAGGAGGGGTAGGGTCGTCCTCGAAAGGGTTGGAGAGGGGGGGTTTAAAGAAGGTTTTGTGGGCGAGGGCTTGGACTTCCAGCAAGCGTGCGTGAGCGTGTTAGATAGGAGTGAATGGAGACGAATGATACTTGGGGCCTGACGATCTGTTGGAGTGTGAGCAGGGTAATATTTAGTGAAGGGATTCAGGGAAACCGGTTATTTTCATATAGTCGGACTTGAGTCCTGGAAATGGGAAGTACAATGCCTGCACTTTAAAGGAGGGGTTTGGGATATTGGCAGTTTGGAGGGATATGTTGTGTATCTTTATATGTGTATGCTTCTAAACTGTTGTATTCTGAGCACCTCTGCAAAAACAAGTGATAATGTGTGAGTGTGGTGAATGTGTTGAATGATGATGAAAGTATTTTCTTTTTGGGGGTTTTCTTTCTTTTTGGGTCACCCTGCCTTGGTGGGAGACGGCCGACTTGTTGAAAAAAAATTAATATATATATATATATATATATATATATATATATAAAATATATATATATATTTTATTTAATATATACACATATATATATATATATATATATATATATATATATATATATATATATATATATATATACACATAATATATATAATATATATATATATATATATATTATATATATATATATATATATATATATATATATATATATATAGATATATATATATATATATATATATATATATATTCTTTTTTATATCACACTGGCCGATTCCCACCAACATGTGCCCGAAAAAGAAAAATTTCAACCATCATTCACTCCTTCACTGTCTTTTGCCTAGAAAGGTGCTTTACACTAACAGTTTTTAAACTGCAACATTAACACCCCTCCTCAGAGTGCAGGCACTGTACTTTCCCCTCTCACAGACTCAAGTCCGCCTGCCGTTTCCCTGAACCCCTTCATAACAGTTTCTTTGCTCACACTCCCAACAGCACGTTCAATATTAAAAACCATTTGTCTCCATTCACTCCTATCAAAAACTTCTCACGCATGCCCTCCTGAAGTCCAAGCCCCTCGCACCACAAAACCTCCTTTACCCCCTCCCTCCAACCTTTCCTAGGCCGACCTCTACCCCGCCTTCCTTCCACTACAGATTGATACACTCTTGAAGTCACTCTGTTTCGCTCCATTCTCTCTACATGCCCGAACCACCTCAACAACCCTTCCTCAGCCTTCTGGACAACAGTTTTGGTAATCCCGCACATCCTCCTAATTTCCAAACTACGAATTCTCTGCATTATATTCACACCACACATTGCCCTCAGACATGACATCTCCACTGCCTCCAGCCTTCTCCTCGCTGCAACATTCATCACCCATGCTTCACACCCATATAAGAGCGTTGGTAAAACTATACTCTCATACATTCCCCTCTTTGCCTCCAAGGACAAAGTTCTTTGTCTCCACAGACTTCTAAGTGCACCACTCACCCTTTTCCCCCTCATCAATTCTATGATTCACCTCATCTTTCATAGACCCATCCGCTGACACGTCCACTCCCAAATATCTGAATATATTCACCTCCTCCATACTCTCTCCCTCCAATCTGATATTCAATCTTTCATCACCTAATCTTTTTGTTATCCTCATAATCTTACTCTTTCCTGTATTCACCTTTAATTTTCTTCTTTTGCACATCCTACCAAATTCATCCACCAATCTCTGCAACTTCTCTTCAGAATCTCCCAAGAGCACAGTGTCATCAGCAAAGAGCAGCTGTGACAACTCCCACTTTGTGTGTGATTCTTTATCTTTAACTCCACGCCTCTTGCCAAGACCCTCGCATTTACTTCTCTTACAACCCCATCTATAAAAATATTAATCCCGGGTGACATCCACACCCTTGTCTGGGCCTACTTTTCTGGGAAAAAATTTTCCCCCTTTTCCTACATACTGTTTTTTTAGCCTCCATCCTCGTAAAAACTTTTCACTGCTTTCAAAACCCACCTCCTACACCTTTCATTGCAACATCGCCACTTGCCCCCCTTCCACCCTGTCATACGCCTTTTCCAAATCCTAATCCCAAAAAAAGCCCTTTTAGCCTTATCTAAATAGTTCACTTTTTGTTTCACTGTAAACACGGGGTCCAAAACCCCCCCTCCTTTTCCTAAGCCCCCTTGTTCACGCACCCTATTCTCCTCTTACTCTTAATTCTTTCAAAAATAACTTACCATACCTTTACCGGTATACTCGCGATTTGTCCCCCTATAATTTTTGCATCCTTTTACCCCCTTTGCCTTTTACAAAGGACTATGCTGCTCTCTCCCAAATCCTGGGTACCTTACCCCTCTTCCATACTTTATTAAATAATTGCACCAACCACCCCAAAACTATACCCCCCTGTTTTTAACTTTTCTATCTTTATCCCAAAACCCCCGGCTGCCTTCCCCCTTTCATTTACCCTACTGCCTCACGAACTTCCCCACACTCAAAAACTGGCTCTTCCTCATCCTACAAGATGTATTCCTCCTTGTCCTATAAAACGAAATCACAGCTTCCCTATCTTCATCAACATTTAAAAATTTCCCTCAAAATATTCCCTCCATCCTTCCCAATCCCTCTAACTCTCCATTTGATAACTTTTCCTCTCCTATTTTTAACTGACAAACCCATTTGTTCTCTAGGCTTTCTTAACTTGTTAATCTCACTCCAAACTTTTTCTTATTTTCAACAAATTTGTTGATAACATCTCACCCACTCTCTCATTTGCTCTCTTTTTAAAATTGCTTCACCACTCTCTTAACATCTCTCTTTTTCTCCATATTAATCTTCCCTCCTTGCATCACTTCTACTTTGTAAAAACTTCTCATATGCTAACTTTTTCTCCCTTACTACTTCTTTACATCATCATTCCACCAATCGCTCCTCTTCCTCCCGCACCCATTTTCCTGTAACCACAAACTTCTGCTGAACACTCTAACACTACATTTTTAAACCTACCCCATACCTCTTCGACCCCATTGCCTATGCTCTCATTAGCCCATCTATCCTCCAATAGCTGTTTATATCTTCCCCTAAACTGCCTCCTCTTTTAGTTTATAAACTTTCACCTCTCTCTTCCCTGATGCTTCTATTCTCCTTGTATCCCATCTCCCTTTTTTACTCTCGTGTAGCTTACAACTAGAAAGTGATCTGATATATCTGTGGCCCCTCTATAAACATGTACATCCTGAAGTCTACTCAACAGTCTTTTATCTACCAATACATAATCCAACAAACTACTGCCCATTTCGCCCTACATCATATCTTGTATACTTATTTATCCTCTTTTTCTTAAAATATGTATTACCTATAACTAAACCCCTTTCTATACAAAGTTCAATCAAAGGGCTCCCATTATCATTTACACCTGGCACCCCAAACTTACCTACCACACCCTCTAAAAGTTTCTCCTACTTTGCATTCAGGTCCCCTACCACAATACTCTCTCACTTGGTTCAAAGACTCCTATACATTCACTTAACATCTCCCAAAATCTCTCTCTCTCCTCGCATCTCTCTTTTTCCAGGTGCATACACGCTTATTATGACCCACTTCTCGCATCCAACCTTTACTTTAATCCCCATAATTCTTTAATTTACACATTCATATTCTCTTTTCTCCTTCCATAACTGATCATTCAACATTACTGCTACCCCTTCCTTTGCTCTAACTCTCTCAGATACTCCAGATTTAATCCCATTTATTTCCCCCCACCGAAACTCCCCTACCCCCTTTAGCTTTGTTTCGCTTAGGACCAGGACATCCAACTTCTTTTCATTCATAACATCAGCAATCATCTGTTTCTTGTCATCCGCATTACATCCACGCACATTTAAGCATCCCAGTTTTATAAAGTTTTTCTTCTTCTCTTTTTTAGTAAATGTCTACAGGAGAAGGGGTTACTAGCCCATTTATTAAAAAATGCTGATTATAACACGCCAACACAAAACTGTCAGTGCTCATTAATTGTGTTAGCAATAAAGTGTATACGAGAGTGTGTATGGATTGTTTACTATAACTGAATAAATTATATGTGCCTGGTATTTGTTGTAGTTATAGAGTCAGCGGAAATAACAGTCTGTGAAGCCTTGAAAACAGGTTGGATAAACTTTATACCTGAGTAGCATAGCGTCGTTTCATCTCGACCAGTGCCTGGAGGCTGCTGTAGGGCTCAGCCGTCACTACACGACTCATCTTGATGCCACTGATGTGGTATTCCGCCAGCTTGTCCTTACCCTGAAACCGCAAGACGAAGATGAATTGATTTTAGTGGTGAGAGTTGCAGCCTCCATCACAGAGGTGTGGGGTCAAATCCACTGTCGGGATTGAAAGAATTGAGTTAATTACAAAGGATGAGATTTTGTGGACATAGTATGCGTGTGTCCTCAAGACCACTGGTAAAATTGTGTGGATGTATGGAAAATGTATATATATATATAAACGTGCTATACCACGGGAAATGTTTTCTTGTCTATGGACGACTAAGCTAGACATGATCCATGGTACTTTTACTAGACATATTCCTTGATGGATTGCAACACTTGGCTCTACTCCGAGGACAGCAACTACGCTCTGGCTGTCCCCTTCTCCAGAACATCACTTCATCTGAGATCATTTATTCTTAGGATGACTCGAGTTTGGAACATGTTCGTACAGTATAACATCAACGAAATAAAGTCAGCTGACCAAATGATACAGCTGCCCCACAGCTGGCTCCAGCTGCATCATGCTTCCTGTTTGTATAACTATTTTAATAATAAACAGGATTTCAAATGAGCTGATGTAGGTATTAGCTCTTAGCCCGTAAATAAAGTTAGGAACCCTAAACCTAGCCTCGTAGAACCTTGTGTAAGAGAGAGAGAGAGAGAGAGAGAGAGAGAGAGAGAGAGAGAGAGAAGTGATAGGTGTCCTGTAGCTTGGTTGCTAGCACACTCGGCTCACCCCGGTACGGTGAAAACATTAGGACGTGTTTACTTAAGACGGCTGCTGTCCCTGTTCACCTAGTGAAATAGCTACCTGGGTGTTAGTCGACTGATGTGGGTCGCATCCTGGAAACCAAATTAACCTAATTTGCCCGAAATGCTCAGCATAACAAGGGGCTTTCTATATAGTAGCATGTCATTGATGTCAACTAGGCCTGTATACCATGTACATGTACTTGTAGAAATAAAGATTATTATTATTATTATTATTATTATTACTATTAATTATTATTATTATTTAAACTAGAGGGTTCGAGATTTTATCCAAGAAAGAAAATAATCCAGTATAACCCAAGAAAGCCAAGCAGTGTGGCTGTCACTGTCTTACCTTAATACTAGTGTAAACTTACCTTAATAGTACCCTTAAAATGATCTTAACCTGAACATATTTTTATGTCAATATTATCGTTATCTTAACACTATCTTAGTCACCTGGTAACGGATGCCTGGTCCATACTTCTGCAAGATGACGTATTTCTGGGTGTTCCTGTTCATTCTGAACACCATGGTGCAGTAATCAGTGTTGAACGGGTAGTAGAGGAAGTTGAACAAACACTTGAAGACAACGGTGTACTTGCGTGACATGCGGATGTAGTTGTCCCTACCCTCGTACACCCGAGCTGTAGGGTAGGTAAGACTGGTCAGGAAACAGGACAAGTATTTCCTGACGCGGGTCTTAGCCAGATGATGACCCGCAGCTGGAGCATTTGGTCCTCTGACCGAGGCCAGTTGTAGGTGGGGTACTTGCACTGTTTTATTCGTAGTGAAATAAAAACTTATTCTTTTTTTATAATTAAATACCTGGGGAAGGTTTCTGGGATCAACGTCCCCGCGGCCCAGTCTGTGACCAGGTCTCAAGAAATGTGTAAATATTGCTAAATATCAAAGGATTTTTCATTTAGTTAAAAAAAAAAAGCAGGGAAATATGGAGGTTGTACCAAGAGTAGGATTGGAGTGGTGATGGAGTGTGTGGCTCTGCTTGTTCTTAATAGTTTTTCATTCTCATGACGTTGTTTAGTCTATCTTGTTCCAGTGGCAGTACAAACAGTTACAGTTTATGTTGCACCTGGCCAACAGTCTGCTGACCCGAGCACTGAGCTGGACACCGCAGACAGTTGTTACTCTGGTTGTAAATGGTACGGTGATGTTGACAAACTGAAGAGAAGAACCCTTGTGTACAGTTCAGGACATTTATTGAAGGAAATGTTTCGCCACGAGATGTTTCATTTAATAAATGTCCTGATCTGTATACAAGTGTCCTTTGCCATAAGCGTTACTTTAGAGGCAAGAACCATGATGTTACTTGCTCTGGATGCGGTGACGCTGAGACCATTCTTATTGACGCTGCTGATGCCTATTGCAAGGACCATAAAATCTCAGGGCATACCACTTGTTTGAAGTGTCCCAACAGGCTACAGAGCTGTGGATGCCTCGTCTCATAACCGCGGTTGTCCGTCATACTCAAGCACAGTGAGCTGGTCTTCCAACTATGGTAGGTGCAGTGACCGGAGTCATTATGGAAAAGACTCGGCATGTGTTAAAATCTCCGCCAAATACGATTTCCATCTGTAATGCTTTGATGCAGGCGCGGCGCAAAAATTTCTGTACTGGGAAGATGGGGTAGGGAGGGGGGGATTAGAGTGACTATTTTGTTGTAAGGAGTTTTGGAGACTAAGGGAATTTTTAAGGGGCTGAAGCCCCAAGCTTCCCCTTGGTGCTGCCCCTGCTTTGTTGTTGTGAGTAATGATGTCTTCATGGAGAGGCTTGACAACAAGAAGGCTGACGAAGATGAAGATGTTGACGGACGCCACCCAGAGAACATCCTCACCACTGGTCGTAATGATGATACCATCAGTGAATCAATATCTCTAATGATGTGGATGACATCACTTGCCTCCATCTTCAGAAAAACATGATGAATCCATTGTTATAATTCACGCTGCATGATAAACCTATAAAACTATTCCTAGATATGAGTACAGTGGCCAGTATAGTCAGATCAAGACTTTCTTGACAAAGGATTATATGTGTCTGTGTTAAATTACCTCTGAGAACTTTAAACCCTCAGCGATGTTCTGGGTAACTTCATGACGAAACGATGAAAGTCCGCAGCCGGATTCACATTAAAAGGCAGGAAAGAAGTTGTCGGGCCCATTATTGGAAATTGACGACATCGAATTCTCCGTTATGCGCGCCGTGAAGGTTCCAAAACTATAGTGGGCCAAAAAATTCTCCCTATCCCTGCCAGTTGGAACTTGTCATCAGAGACCTCGACGTGTCATTCCGATGTATGGAACTCTGAGAAACCATTTGCTACTCAGTCTCCAAGCACATCAAACATCTAGAGAGTTTTAAACCAAAGTCTTCAGGAGTAGCACCTCCGAGCTGCCAGGTAATGTTGGACCTACCATGGTAAAACGCTTTGTTTCCAACTTGCACTACGAAAAGATGAAATGAACGAAGCTGTGACACAAGGGCAGTTAGTATACAACAAATTCTAACCACACAATGGAGCGAAAAACTAATGTGAAGGATTTGGAAGCGATAATGCCAGATGATCTCACCTTCAAGGATTACAGCAGTGTCATTATCACATCTGCGAGGAAAATGATAGGATGGATAATGAGATTTTTCAAAAGAAGGGATGCCAAGCCAATGATGATCCTTTTTAAATCACTTGTTCTCTCTAGGCTGGAATACTCTTGTACACTAACAACCCCCATTCAAGGCAGGTGAAATCGCTGATACGGAGAATGTGCTGAGAACCTTCACTGCACGTATTAGTTCAGCCAAGCACCTTAATTACTGGGAACCTTTGAAGTTCCTTGGCCTGTACTCCCTGGAACGCAGGCGAGAAAGATACATCATAATCTACACCTGGAAAATCCTAGAGGGGACTGGTCTCAACTCTGCACACAGAAATCACTCCCTACGAAGCAAAAGACTAGGTAGACGGGCAACATACCCCCAATGAAAAGCTGGTGTGCTGCGAGTACACAAAGAGAAAACACAGTAAGTGTCCGGGACCCAAGACTGTTCAGAAGCCTCCCATCATGAATAAGGGGAATTGCCAATAGACCCCTGGTTGTCTTCAAGAAGGAACTGGAGAGACACTTAAAGTCAGTGACTGATAAGCCTGACTATGGTTTGTATGTTGGATTGCGTGTGGCCAGCAGTAACAGCCTGGTTGATCGGGCCCTGATCCACCAGACGGCAGAACAACCTCCAGATAGATTCCAGGTAGATAAAAGAAGCTAAAACATTCATGGACTCTAGCTGTTGATCTGTTTGTGACTGACAGAGATGCAGCTGCTGGAGAATGCTTATGTATCCGGTTACAGCTGTGTGTGTGTGTGTGTGTGTGTGTGTGTGGTGTGTGTGTGTGTGTGTGTGTGTGTGTGTGTGTGTGTGTGTGAGGGGTGGCTGAGTGGGCAAGTGTATGCTAGAGTGGGCGCGTGGGATGATGGTCTTACCTTCCCTAGACTTCTCAATGTCGTCTTCATTAGGTTGACCATGGCGTTCCACTGTTACCTTACAGTCGTCGTCAACTAGTGTGTGTTGGTTGCTGTCAGCGTTCAGGAAGTCCACCACTGGAACCCACATCGTCTCCGCCTGTAACAACCCTCCATTCAAACCACCTACTGCACATTGATCAATTAGACACATGTGCAACACTAAGGTATCTTTATTAAGGAAACGTTTCGCCACACAGTGGCTTCATTAAGCCAGCGACGAAACGTTTCCACAATAAAGATACCCAAGTGTTACACATGTGTCTAATTTATCAACAAGTCGGTTCTATGAATAATTTATCTACATACTATTGCACATGCCAGTTATTGCACGTAAACCAAAATTAGGAACGAAACTAAGAAAACTGAGCAGCTGGGACCTTCACATAAACCTTACCCTAGTTGCGGTAAACCAGTGTTAAAAGTTTGAAGCCGATCGGACCAGGCGTTTCCGAATTATGAGCAAAAAATGGTATACAATACCGACATATACAACAGTTAGGTATGAAATTAAGACACATGTGCAACATGTCGGTATTATATACCATTCTTGCACAACAGTTAGGTATCTTTATTCCGAAACTTTTCGCCAACACAGAAGGATTCTTCAGTCGAGTACAGAGGAGTCAACAGAAGCAGTAGAGATGTAAAGACGTTGTAATCAGTCCCATCACCCTTGAAGATGTAGATTTAAGGTATTTAGTTCTGAGGGGCTAACCAGACACCTACAATATTCCTGAGGGGCTAACCAGACACCTACAATATTCCTGAGGGGCTAACCAGACACCTACAATATTCCTGAGGGGCTAACCAGACACCTACAATATTCCTGAGGGGCTAACCAGACACCTACAATATTGAACATTAAAATGGTATAAAATACCGACAGGTTGTTAGGTAAGACACATATGCAACAGTTTTATACCATTTTAATGTTCAATCTGTCAGACACTGCAACACAAGGGTATCTTGGTACAGACCTGCAATCAACTTCGACAACTTCCACTAGTGAGAGCGGCTGGATTTGAGAGGGACCTGACTTCTCAACATCTGAGTTCTTACCTCTCCTAGTGGCCTACGTCTCACCTCTTGGCGCTATAAAAAGCTCCATCCTGTCACTTCTTCTCCATATTGTTTCATACTATGGAACAATGCTCTTCTCCAGACTGAGGGACTGACCACCTCAAAACTTTAAGGGTGATGGACTGATTACATCGTCTTCAAGTATCTTCTGCTTCTATCAACTTTTCTGTACTTGACTGAAGAAGCCTACTGTGTAGGCGAAACGTTTCATAATAAAGATACCTAACTGTTGCATATGTGTCTTACCTAACAACCTACAATATTCCTGAGGGGCTAACCAGACACCTACAATATTCCTGAGGGGCTAACCAGACACCTACAATATTCCTGAGGGGTTAACCAGACACCTACAATATTCCTGAGGGGCTAACCAGACACCTACAATATTCCTGAGGGGTTAACCAGACACCTACAATATTCCTGAGGGGCTAACCAGACACCTACAATATTCCTGAGGGGTTAACCAGACACCTACAATATTCCTGAGGAGCTAACCAGACACCTACAATAGTGGGTAAGACACATATGCAACAGTTAGACAACTTTATTCCGATACGTTTCGCCTACACAGTAGGCTTCTTCAGTCGAATACAGAAAGTAGGCAGGAACAGTAGAGATGTGAAGACGATGTAATCAGTCCATCACCCTTAAAGTCGTAGAATTTGAGGTTGTCAGTCCCTCGGCCTGGAGAAGTTCAGTTCCATAGTCAGGAACTATCTGAAGATCAAGCGACAGTGCGGAGACTTAAATACTGTCGGAAGGAGAGGTGCAGGGTAGTAGTAGTAGTAGTAAGTAGTAGTAGTAGTGAGAGGCCACTGAGAGGTCATGTCCCTCTCAGATCCAACACTTCTCACTTGAAAAGCTTGTCCAAGGTGTTTTCTGTACCAAGATGCCACGTGTTGCAGTGTCTGACAAGATGAACATCAAAATGGTATACAATACCGACAGGTTGTTAGGTAAGACACATATGCAACAGTTAGACCTCTCAGTGGCCTCTCACTACTACTACTACTACTACTACTACCCTGCACCTCTCCTTCCGACAGTATTTAAGTCTCCGCACTGTCGCTTGATCTTCAGATAGTTCCTGACTATGGAACTGAACTTCTCCAGGCCGAGGGACTGACAACCTCAAATTCTACGACTTTAAGGGTGATGGACTGATTACATCGTCTTCACATCTCTACTGTTCCTGCCTACTTTCTGTATTCGACTGAAGAAGCCTACTGTGTAGGCGAAACGTTTCGGAATAAAGTTGTCTAACTGTTGCATATGTGTCTTACCTAACAACCTGTCGGTATTGTGGCAATATAAACACAAATGCAGTATAATGTGATCACATTATACTGCATTTGTGTTTATATTGCCATTGTGTCGGTATTTTATACCATTTATTTCCATTCTGTCGGTATTGTATACCATTTTGATGTTCATCTTGTCAGACACTGCAACACATGGCATCTTGGTACAGAAAACACCTTGGACAAGCTTTTCAAGTGAGAAGTGTTGGATCTGAGAGGGACATGACCTCTCAGTGGCCTCTCACTACTACTACTACTACTACCCTGCACCTCTCCTTCCGACAGTATTTAAGTCTCCGCACTGTCGCTTGATCTTCAGATAGTTCCTGACTATGGAACTGAACTTCTCCAGGCCGAGGGACTGACAACCTCAAATTCTACGACTTTAAGGGTGATGGACCGATTACATCGTCTTCACATCTCTACTGTTCCTGCCTACTTTCTGTATTCGACTGAAGAAGCCTACTGTATAGGCGAAACGTTTCGGAATAAAGTTGTCTAACTGTTTGTAAAGTAAAAGGACACAAGTGCAACTAATGTGACATTTATTGTGGCAACGTTTCGCTCTCCAGGAGCTTTATCAAGCCATTACAAACAATACATGGACACAGAGGGTATATAAAGGCTCAGAGTGAGGTGAATACTAGTGAGGTACCATTTCGATGTTCACTAGTGGTAGTAGTAGTAGTAGTAGTAGTAGTGGTAGTGACAAAAGTAATACAATATGGTAGAGCAATTAATTCGTACATGAGTAAAAGGATATAAAAGCTATTACTTGGGTAACATAAAAATAGGATGGAATGAGGCAGCTTGTTTCTGTGTTCACTCTCTGTGCTTTGTGTAGTATAACAGGAGAGACTATGTGATGGCAGGGTTTACTGTTTTCAGGAGGATTCTTGCTAAGACTTCGGAGATGGTGAAGCTGCCGTTGTTTTGTTTAACTGTATTCGAAACAGCGATCAGCGCTGATTCGAGGCACTTGCGTAGAATTTGAGGTGTCTTACCTAACAACCTGTCGGTATTGTATACCATTTTGATGTTCATCTTGTCAGACACTGCAACACATGGCATCTTGGTACAGAAAACACCTTGGACAAGCTTTTCAAGTGAGAAGTGTTGGATCTGAGAGGGACATGACCTCTCAGTGGCCTCTCACTACTACTACTACTACTACTACCCTGCACCTCTCCTTCCGACAGTATTTAAGTCTCCGCACTGTCGCTTGATCTTCAGATAGTTCCTGACTATGGAACTGAACTTCTCCAGGCCGAGGGACTGACAACCTCAAATTCTACGACTTTAAGGGTGATGGACTGATTACATCGTCTTCACATCTCTACTGTTCCTGCCTACTTTCTGTATTCGACTGAAGAAGCCTACTGTGTAGGCGAAACGTTTCGGAATAAAGTTGTCTAACTGTTGCATATGTGTCTTATCTAACAACCTGTCGGTATTGTATACCATTTTGATGTTCACCTACAATAGTCCTGAGGGGCTAACCAGACACCTACAATAGTCCTGATGGGCTAACCAGACACCTACAATAGTCCTGAGGGGCTAACCAGACACCTTGTAATAAAGTTGGTAGAATTACCGACACTATGTAAAGTTGGTTTAGAAAGACACGTAAGCAAACACTATGACACATTTATTTAGAAAACGTTTCGGTCCTGGGACCTTGATCACTTCTAACATACAGAGGTACAAAGACATTATATATATAGGCGGAGAGTGAGGTGTGAGTGACGCACGTGACCTGAGGAATGTCATAAGAACATAAGAATGGAGGAAAACTGCAGAAGACCTACTGGCCCATGCGAAGCAGGTCCTTATCAAAACAACCTCTACCTATGATGAGGACGGGTAGACGATGAAATCATGTGACTCCTGTGTTGTGATGAATGGTTTTGAAAACCGACAAGTTGAAGAATTGAGACACTTATGCAACACATGGGAATCTTTATTGAAGAAACGTTTCGCCACACAGTGGCTTCATCAGTCCAATACAAAGTAGAAGTGGGTAAGGAGAGTAGAAGTTTGAGGTAATCAGTCCCTCAACCTGGAATCGATGTGTTCAGTCCATCACTCTTGTAGGAAGTGCAGCATAGGGCCAGAGAGGTGGCTTATATACTGCGGTGAGATGAGTTGAAGCAGGAGGCGGGATCACAGTGGGACCTGCCACTAGTGTAAGTAGGTCGTCGTCCAAAGGTTGGGCAAGCGTTGAAGTCTTTGTACCAAGATCCCATGATGTTGCAGTGTCTGACAGATGTGATGAATGGTTTTGAAAACCGAGATCTTGGTACAAAGACTTCAACGCTTGCCCAACCTTTGGACGACGACCTACTTACACTAGTGGCAGGTCCCACTGTGATCCCGCCTCCTGCTTCAACTCATCTCACCGCAGTATATAAGCCACCTCTCTGGCCCTATGCTGCACTTCCTACAAGAGTGATGGACTGAACACATCGATTCCAGGTTGAGGGACTGATTACCTCAAACTTCTACTCTCCTTACCCACTTCTACTTTGTATTGGACTGATGAAGCCACTGTGTAACGAAACGTTTCTTCAATAAAGATTCCCATGTGTTGCATAAGTGTCTCAATTCTTCGACTCCTGTGTTGTTGGGTTGGTGCTGCTTAAGTATCATGTATGCCAATGTTTTTGAAATTTTGTAGTTTCCAGTGTTGCGTTCTATAGTGTCGGTGACGGCGATTAGTGAGGCTTCTAGGCACCGTCGGCGTCTGAGGTCTGGTTCGGTGAGAACGAGTTGTGCCTCATTCCAGTTCATCAAATGCCCCGTGGAGTCTCTGTGGAGGACACAGGCGTACCTTACATCGTCTCTGTTAGAGGCATTTCGATGCTCATTCAGGCGGACTGCAAGATCTCTGCCTGTCTCGCCTGGAAATATAAACACATGCAGTATAATGTGATCCTTTATTGACTACGTTTCGCCCACACAGTGGGCGAAACGCCTACATATTTCTTGGGACAGAACCCACAGGGGATAGTGTAGACGCCTGCTGTAGAAGTTAGAGGTGTGGGCTGCGTTTCGTAGTGAGGTCTTTGATAGATGATGTGTTTATGGTGGAAACGTTGATGTTACTCATAGCAAGTGCCCGGCGAGTATTCGTGGCAACATTACCACATGGGAGTACTATGAACTGCTTAGGGGGCTGTTCCATGGGCGGTTTGTTGAGGATAGCTTGTGCCTTGAGTCTGCAATCTCGGATGAAGAAAGATGGGAACTGAAGACGTGTAAAGGCTTGTGTTATGTAAGTGCATTCTTGTTCTAGAAAACAAGGGCTGGAGATGCGAAGAGCTCTAAAGAAGAAGCCAGTGAGGACTCCTCTTTTCTGTCCTAGACGTCTCAATATCCAGGCCCTTCTCAACAAGATCAATGCAGTTGAACCATCAATAAAGTTTACACTTGAACTCGAAAATGATGGCAAACTTCCTTTCCTCGACGTTCTACTGTGCAGATCTCCCGACAGTGACAAACTTCTCTTCAAAGTGTATAGAAAACCTACCAACAAGGACGATCTTATACACTTTTATTCACACCAAGACACCCGCACTAAGAGAGGAGTCCTCACTGGCTTCTTCTTTAGAGCTCTTCGCATCTCCAGCCCTTGTTTTCTAGAAGAAGAATGCACTTACATAACACAAGCCTTTACACGTCTTCAGTTCCCATCTTTCTTCATCCGAGATTGCAGACTCAAGGCACAAGCTATCCTCAACAAACCGCCCATGGAACAGCCCCCTAAGCAGTTCATAGTACTCCCATGTGGTAATGTTGCCACGAATACTCGCCGGGCACTTGCTATGAGTAACATCAACGTTTCCACCATAAACACATCATCTATCAAAGACCTCACTACGAAACGCAGCCTCACACCTCTAACTTCTACAGCAGGCGTCTACACTATCCCCTGTGGGTTCTGTCCCAAGAAATATGTAGGCGAGACAGACAGAGATCTTGCAGTCCGCCTGAATGAGCATCGAAATGCCTCTAACAAAGACGATGTAAGGTACGCCTGTGTCCTCCACAGAGACTCCACGGGGCATTTGATGAACTGGAATGAGGCACAACTCGTTCTCACCGAACCAGACCTCAGACGCCGACGGTGCCTAGAAGCCTCACTAATCGCCGTCACCGACACTATAGAACGCAACACTACAAGATTTCAAAAACATTGGCATACATGATACTTAAGCAGCACCAACCCAACAACACAGGAGTCACATGATTTCATCGTCTACCCGTCCTCATCATAGGTAGAGGTTGTTTTGATAAGGACGTGCCTCGCATGGGCCAGTAGGCCTTCTGCAGTGTTCCTCCATTCTTATGTTCTTACGACATTCCTCAGGTCACGTGCGTCACACCTCACTCTCCGCCTATATATATAATGTCTTTCTACCTCTCTATGTTAAAAGTGATCAAGGTCCCAGGACCGAAACGTTTTCTAGTAAATATGCCATAGTGTTTGCTTACGTGTCTTTCTAAACCAACTTGTCGGTATTTATTACCAAGGTTTATATGTAAAGTAAAAGGACACAAATGCAACTAATGTGGCATTTTATTGTGGCAACGTTTCGCTCTCCAGGAGCTTTGTCCAATAGAAATGTTTGTCTAACCAATTTTTATGTTTCCCAAGTAATAGCTTTTATATCCTTTACTCGTAATGACACGATTGCAAACAAACCATACCCCCGGCCGGGATTGAACCCGCTAACGCCCGTCGCGTTAGTGGCTAACGCGACGGGCTGGAGTTTTGAGACTCTATGACCGCGGGTTCAATCCCGGCCGGGGGTATGGTTTATCCTTTACTCATGTGCAAGTTAATTGTTCTAACATATTGTATTACTACTACTACTACTACTACTACTACTACTACTACTACTACTACTACTACTACTACTACTACTACTACTACCACTAATATTGCACCTCACTCTGAGCCTATATATACCCTCTGTGTCCATGTACTGTTTGTAACGGCTTGACAAAGTTCCTGGAGAGCGAAACGTTGCCACAATAAAATGTCACATTAGTTGCACTTGTGTCCTTTTACTTTACCTACAACAGTCCTGAGGCGCTAACCAGACACCTACAATAGTCCTGAGGGGTTAACCGACATCTACAATAGTCCTGAGGGGCTAACAAGACACCTACAATAGTGCTGAGGCGCTAATCAGACACTTACAATAGTCCTGAGGGGCTAACCAGACACCTACAATAGTCCTACAATAGTCGGTATTGTATACCATTCTTGTACAACTTGTCAGACACTGTAACATCATGGAATCTTGATTCTGAGGACATGTACATAACCTTCATGACTGCGACAGCTACTACTACAACTAACCCATCTCTTTGGGTAGGACCTACTTCCACTGGGGACTCCCGCCTACCAGTGACTATGCCCTCGTCTGCTGCACGTCCCATTTCCACCTGACATTAGTACATAAGCGCCAGGTTCCTTGCTTCTGCTTCAGAATCTCCACGACTACAGTGCTCTTCGCACCAACTCCTAGGTTGAGGGACTGATTACCTCATCTTCTGTGTATAGTTCTACTGTCTTCAAGTTATGTCCTGGAATTTGTATTGATGAAGCCACAGGATGGCGAAAAACGTTTACAATAAAGATACCCAGATGTTGTACATGCGTCTTAATTTCATCAGTCCTGAGGGGCTAACCAGACACCTACAATAGTCCTGAGGGGCTAACCAGACACCTACAATAGTCCTGAGGGGCTAACCAGACACCTACAATAGTCCTGAGGGGCTAACCAGACACCTACAATAGTCCTGAGGGGCTAACCAGACACCTACAATAGTCCTGAGGGGCTAACCAGACACCTACAATAGTCCTGAGGGGCTAACCAGAACCTACAATAGTCCTGAGGGGCTAACCAGACACCTACAATAGTCCTGAGGGGCTAACCAGACACCTACAATAGTCCTGAGGGGCTAACCAGAACCTACAATAGTCCTGAGGGGCTAACCAGACACCTACAATAGTCCTGAGGGGCTAACCAGACACCTACAATAGTCCTGAGGGGCTAACCAGAACCTACAATAGTTCCTGAGGGGCTAACCAGACACCTACAATAGTCCTGAGGGGCTAACCAGACACCTACAATAGTCCTGAGGGGCTAACCAGACACCTACAATAGTCCTGAGGGGCTAACCAGACACCTACAATAGTCCTGAGGGCTAACCAGACACCTACAATAGTCCTGAGGGACTAACCAGACACCTACAATAGTCCTGAGGGGCTAACCAGACACCTACAATAGTCCTGAGGGGCTAACCAGACACCTACAATAGTCCTGAGGGACTAACCAGACACCTACAATAGTCCTGAGGGGCTAACCAGACACCTACAATATTTGCTAAGAAGACTTACTCATTAAATATTGGATGGATTTTGAAATATTTCTAATATTTTATAGATTGACGTATTCTAAAAAAATTTTTCTTGTGAATTTCACAGCATCTGTCATAGTTTTCTTGTTATAAACTGCTGAGAGTCCAGTTACTGTTCCAGTTTACGAGCGTCTGGAAAGCTCCAGCTCTCTAGTCTGTAACCTACAATTATACGTCTCGTCTCCTCCCTGTCCTCGGGAAAGAGTTAGGGATATGCTACTGGTTACTTGATTAAGAGGCAATTTCCTAAATTTCATATGTCCAGTTATTGCCCTGGAACCCTTCCAGTTAGGAGCCCCACAAAGGGTCCCCTGCTCAATAAAGGATTATTTTCTCCAGCTTTTCTAATTTACATGTAAAATGAAAAGGTACAATACTGTGACTGGAACAATACACAAATAACCCGCACGTAGGAGACAGACTTATGACATAGCAAACTTACGATACAACAAACTTAGGTCGTAAGTTTCCGTCTTATACGTCCGGGTTATTTGTGCCTAATTAACAAATTTATTTTTACTACTACAGTGGAGTATGATATGACGAACGAATGCTATAACGAACAAGGTTCTAGTGCCAATTAGATTCGTTATAGCATACCCCACTGTAGTATATTTCCAGTGAGGAGGACTGGCCAGTGACTGACCTCACTAGGGAGGATAATATTGAGCTGACGATCCCGACGCAGATGGATGAACCTGACTCGCTGGTCGAACCAGATCATCCTGACCATCAGCTGCACCGTGAACCTGTTATTGATGGCGCTGATGCTGGAGAAGGACCTGCCGGAAGTGCAGCCTGACATCACTATATATCACCTCAATCCATCACTGGTATTGAGCAGCAATGGGGAATAAAAGGCCACAACACCGTTGCTGCAACAAGGCATAAATTACTCATTAGCCACAAGTGAAAAAAAATACAATGTGTCGCTACTTCCTCTTGTAGAGGCGTAGAAACAGTATTGTTGATAAGACACGTATGCAACATTTAGGTAACTATATTGAAGCGTTGGCTCACACAGTACTCTTCTGTACTCGACTGAAGAAGCCTACTGTGAAGGCGAAATGTTTCGGAATAAAGATACGCAACTTCTCAACCTGTCGGAATTGTATACTGTTATCATATTTTAATATTATTATTATTATCACTGATGAAGACAATGGTAGCGAAACGTTTCATTTAATAATTGTTTTGAATTGTATACAAGTGTTCTTTTCCACATTATTTTTTTCACCTCACCGGCCGTCTCCGACCGAGGTAGAGTGACCCACAGAAAGAAGAAACACTTTCATCACCAGTCATTCAGTTGCCGCCTTGGCCAGTAGCGGACCTACATTTCTGGGGCCCTGAAGTTTGAACTGTAATAGGGACCCCATCACAACCTTATGCTTCATTAGTTTCACAGTAGATCCGCCCCTGGTGTTGTACTTCCCACCTCCACCCCACCTTCAGAGTGCAGACACTGTACTTCCCACCTCCACCCCACCTTCAGAGTGCAGGCACTGTACTTCCCACCTCCACCCCACCTTCAGAGTGCAGACACTGTACTTCCCACCTCCACCCCCCTTCAGAGTGCAGGCACTGTACTTCCCACCTCCACCCCACCTTCAGAGTGCAGACACTGTACTTCCCACCTCCACCTCACCTTCAGAGTGCAGACACTGTACTTCCCACCTCCACCCCACCTTCAGAGTGCAGACACTGTACTTCCCACCTCCACCCCACCTTCAGAGTGCAGGCACTGTACTTCCCACCTCCACCTCACCTTCAGAGTGCAGGCACTGTACTTCCCACCTCCACCTCACCTTCAGAGTGCAGGCACTGTACTTCCCACCTCCACCCCACCTTCAGAGTGCAGGCACTGTACTTCCCACCTCCACCTCACCTTCAGAGTGCAGACACTGTACTTCCCACCTCCACCCCACCTTCAGAGTGCAGACACTGTACTTCTCCCCACCTAGACCACCCCCCTCACCTTCAGAGTGCAGGCACTGTACTTCCCACCTCCACCTCACCTTCAGAGTGCAGGCACTGTACTTCCCACCTCCACCCCACCTTCAGAGTGCAGGCACTGTACTTCCCACCTCCACCTCACCTTCAGAGTGCAGACACTGTACTTCCCACCTCCACCTCACCTTCAGAGTGCAGGCACTGTACTTCCCACCTCCACCTCACCTTCAGAGTGCAGGCACTGTACTTCCCACCTCCACCTCACCTTCAGAGTGCAGGCACTGTACTTCCCACCTCCACCCACCTTCAGAGTGCAGGCACTGTACTTCCCACCTCCACCTCACCTTCAGAGTGCAGACACTGTACTTCCCACCTCCACCCCACCTTCAGAGTGCAGACACTGTACTTCCCACCTCCACCCCACCTTCAGAGTGCAGACACTGTACTTCCCACCTCCACCCCACCTTCAGAGTGCAGACACTGTACTTCCCACCTCCACCCCACTTCAGAGTGCAGACACTGTACTTCCCACCTCCACCCACCTTCAGAGTGCAGACACTGTACTCCCACCTCCACCCCACCTTCAGAGTGCAGACACTGTACTTCCCACCTCCACCTCACCTTCAGAGTGCAGACACTGTACTTCCCACCTCCACCCCACCTTCAGAGTGCAGACACTGTACTTCCCACCTCCACCCCACCTTCAGAGTGCAGGCACTGTACTTCCCACCTCCACCTCACCTTCAGAGTGCAGACACTGTACTTCCCACCTCCACCTCACCTTCAGAGTGCAGACACTGTACTTCCCACCTCCACCCCACCTTCAGAGTGCAGGCACTGTACTTCCCACCTCCACCCCACCTTCAGAGTGCAGACACTGTACTTCCCACCTCCACATATGCATTATAAAACTGTGACATTCTTTTTCTTCTATTAAAGGGACGCCTTGATGCTGTTGAAGGGATACCTTGACGTATAGAACCGAAGTCTCACCCCCCTCAACATCACTGACGAGAGGGTGATGTTGAGGTAGACAGGTACTCACGAGACGGTGATGTTAAGGTAGACAGGTACTCACGAGACGATGATGTTAAGGTAGAAAGGTACTCACGAGAGGGTGATGTTAAGGTAGACAGGTACTCACGAGAGGGTGATGTTAAGGTAGACAGGTACTCACGAGAGGGTGATGTTAAGGTAGACAGGTACTCACGAGAGGGTGATGTTAAGGTAGACAGGTACTCACGAGAGGGTGATGTTAAGGTAGACAGGTACTCCGAGAGGGTGATGTTAAGGTAGAACAGGTACTCACGAGAGGGTGATGTTAAGGTAGACAGGTACTCACGAGAGGGTGATGTTAAGGTAGACAGGTACTCACGAGAGGGTGATGTTAAGGTAGACAGGTAGAGGGTGGTCTTGGCGGAGGCTGGGAGGTGGTAAGGTTGTCTGATAACCCCGAGGTAGTTGTACCGGGGAACACTCCGTCTCGTCCGACTTATCGCGACACTGCGTACGTCGGTCACACACCTGTCGCACACAAACGCAGTGTCACACTAAGTAACCGTGTCACAGTAACACACAGTTACATGTACAAGGTATACAGGCCTAGCTGACATCACTGACATATTACTATATAGAAAGCATCTTGTTATGCAGAGCATTTCTCGCAAATTAGGTCAGTCTTGTCCCAGGATGCGACCCACACCAGTCCACTAACACCCAGGTCCTTGTTTTACTGCCAGGTGAACATGGACAGCAGGTGTCTTAAGGAAACACGCCCTAATGTTGCAGCCGTACCGGGGATCGAACCACGGACCTCAGTGTTTGAGCTGAGTGCGCTAGCAATCTTCATATCAACACTGTCGTCTTGATCAGCCAGGCTGTGGTGGATACGTAACTGCATGCTGCTGGTACCAACAACCTGGCTGATCAGGCTATCAACCAGGAAGGCCTAGTGTGGGACCAGACCCCGGGGGCGGTGACCCTCGAAATCAACTACAGGTAACTTTTAAATTTACTTTAAATTTAGCGCTCTCTATTAATGACAATAATTATCACAACTTCTTTGCTACCACCACCACCACTACTATTATTACTACTAATAATAATAATAACTGCTACTACTACTAATAACTACTACTACAAATATTAATAATAATAATAACAGCATCAGAGCTACCCTCTCCTTCAATCACACTGAATTACCCTCCACCCTTCCTTCACGGATTTAGCGCTCCCTCCGCCCACCTGGTTGCTCACCTGGTTGATAGGGATGCAGGTGCCATCATCACAGGTGAACTGCTTGTTGGTGATACACTGGGTGAGGGTGAGGCTGTGCACCACGTGTTGACCCTCCCTGCAGAACCCGTGTGAGAACCTCCACTCGTGACGCCCCACTGGGTAGTCCACTGAACTGTTGTCTTCCAGGTACGCGAAGGTGTTGTTGTTCTACAAGAGGAAGGTGTTGTTGTTCTACAAGAGGAAGGTGTTGTTGTTCTACAAGAGGAAGGTGTTGTTGTTCTACAAGAGGAAGGTGTTGTTGTTCTACAAGAGGAAAAGGGAAAGGTGTTGTTGTTCTACAAGAGGAAGGTGTTGTTGTTCTACAAGAGGAAGGTGATGTTGTAAAGGAGGAAGGCGCTGTTGTTGTAAAGGAAGATTCGGTTGTTGTAGAGGAGGATATTGTTGTTCTACAAGAGGAAGGTGGATGTTCACTCACACGTATTAAGACACTTAAATACACACCACGTGTGTGTTGCTGAACAGTCTTATACACCAGTATTTAGCCCAAATTTATCTAAGTAGGGACAAAATATTGGGATGTGGGTCCCGACTGTTGCTGGAGCTGTAGGGAGAGCAACAGTGAAGGATCTGTCAGCAGTGTGTAGTCCCTTTAATAATATAAATTATTATACGGGGGTTTACAATGTTTGAGGGGGATATAAGTTCCTCGTCTTCTAATAATGTTTATTTTTTCCACTATAATCTATCTTGTTCATAATTACTATCACATTTGCTTTGTCTGCTTTCGTAAGGTGAAGTCCAGGATCTTTCCTTAATTCATGGTATAACTTAACAAATCTTTGATGAAAATTGTGTTGTTGAGGTCTGAGTTATGCTCAGATATACGCATAAGTACAATTATAATCCATAAATTATCTAGGATAAACCCAATTCCCCCCCCCCCAAAAAAAAAAAAAAAAAAAATGTCCAAAGTCTAGTCTAGTGGTCCGGAACCCACTACCCACAAACTTGGGTACCAATATTTCCCTTTCAAATCCTGTACCAAGTACCTTCCTGGGTCTGTCTTGTCACCCACCTGGCTCCCTCTGCCTCCCATTGGCTTGCACTGCCCCCACTGGTTTGTACTGCCTCCCACGGGCTCCCACTGAATTGTACTGCCTCCCACTGGCTTACTCTGCCTCCCACTGTCTTGCACTGCCTTCCATTGCCTTTCACTGGCTTGCACTCCATGAACGTAGCTTCCCCGAGAGTCTACATACTTACTATAATATTCTGGAGTATCCACTTCCCCTCGTTGGTGTAAAAGATGTGAGAGTTGTAGTAGCCCCGGAAGTAAGGCTTAGAGTTCCTGCTTCCGGCCAACACGAAGCGATCGTCGTAGAGGGTCGCGTCGCAGATGCCTCGCAACCTGTGCGCGCAGGGAAGGTAGGATGGAAGGGCCATAGTTATGACAGTTGAGAGGCAATTGTAACTGCAGTGCTACACACAGTGAAGGTACACACACAGTGAAGGTACACACACAGTGAAGGTACACACACATTGAAGATACACACACAGTGAAGATACACACACAGTGAAGATACACACACAGCGAAGATATACACACACCGCGAAGATACACACACAGCGAAGATATACACACACAGTGAAGATACACACAGTGAAGGTACACACACCTGAGTAAAACAGGTGTAGCGAGGATACACTCACCTGAGTAAGACAGGTGTAGCGAGGGTACACAGGGTACACACCTTGAAACTTCTCCTACACAACTGGTCAACCCACCGGCCCTGCACACACACACAAACACTACAACGCTCCATATCTCAAAATCACACACCAACAAAAATATCAACATTGGATAGTTGCAGAATCTATTGTACAAAAACTAACATTAGAATTAAATCTTATTTTCAATCCTTTTATATAGATTCTTGTTGTTATGTCACATATTTTCCTAGTGTCTGTGTTTCGTGTCTGACGCTCGCTGAATTAAGAAAAAAAATGAGTGATGGATCCAGTTTTATGGTTATTTCTTATCACAGATAAAACATATATAGAAAGGCTTATAAAATATAAGTCTAAATTCAGACTTACCTTGAAAGTCTGACCCTTGATGACGGCGCAGTTTTCATATGTTTTACCGTTGGGTTGACCTTCTGCCCAGTTGACGTAGGTCACCTGTATACACAGAGGCACCACTCATACACTTATGAATACCATTGTATACACTCATACACTAGTGTATACCACATGATGTATGTGCATTGTTACTGATTTATAAATGTTACAATTCTTATTTTTTTAGAATATTCACTTCAGAGATAATTCTCAGGTGTGTGTGTGTGTACTCACCTAGTTCTCACCTAGTTGAGGTTGCAGGGGTCGAGTCCAAGCTCCTGGCCCCGTCTCTTCACTGATCGCTACTAGGTCACTCTCCCTGAACCGTGAGGTTTATCATACCTCTGCTTAAAGCTATGAATGGATCCTGCTTCCACTACATCGCTTCCCAAACTATTCCACTTACTGACTACTCTGTGGCTGAAGAAATACTTCCTAACATCCCTGTGATTCATCTGTGTCTTCAACTTCCAATTGTGTCCCCTTGTTGCTGTGTCCAATCTCTGGAACATCCTGTCTTTGTCCACCTGTAAATTCCTCTCAGTATTTTGTATGTCGTTATCATGTCCCCCCTATCTCTCCTGTCCTCCAGTGTCGTCAGGTTGATTTCCCTTAACCTCTCCTTGTAGGACATACCTCTTAGCTCTGGGACTAGTCTTGTTGCAAACCTTTGCACTTTCTCTAGTTTCTTTACGTGCTTGGCTAGGTGTGGGTTCCAAACTGGTGCCGCATACTCCAATATGGGCCTAACGTACACGGTGTACAGGGTCCTGAATGATTCCTTATTAAGATGTCGGAATGCTGTTCTGAGGTTTTATAGGCGCCCATATGCTGCAGCAGTTATTTGGTTGATGTGCGCTTCAGGAGATGTGCCTGGTGTTATACTCACCCCAAGATCTTTTTCCTTGAGTGAGGTTTGTAGTCTCTGGCCCCCTAGACTGTGTGTGTGTGTGTGTGTGTGTGTGTGTGTGTGTGTGTGTGTGTACTCACCTATTTGTACTCACCTATTTGTGGTTGCAGGGGTCGAGTCACAGCTCCTGGCCCCGCCTCTTCGCTGATTGCTACTAGGTCCTCTCTCTCCCTGCCCCATGAGCTCTATCATACCTCGCCTTAAAACTATGTATGGTTCCTGCCTCCACTACATCCCTTTCTAGGCTATTCCATGGCCTGACTACTCTATGACTGAAGAAATACTTCCTAACATCCCTTTGATTCATCTGAGTTTTCAACTTCCAATTGTGACCTCTTGTGTCTGTGTCCCATCTCTGGAACATCCCGTCTTTGTCCACCTTGTCTATTCCTCGCAGTATTTTATATGTCGTTATCATGTCTCCCCTGACCCTCCTGTCCTCCAGTGTCGTCAGGCCGATTTCCCTCAACCTTTCTTCGTAGGACAATCCCCGTAGCTCTGGGACTAGTCTTGTTGCAAACCTTTGCACTTTCTCTAATTTCTTGACGTGCTTGACAGGTGTGGATTCCAAACTGGTGCTGCATACTCCAGTATGGGCCTGACGTAGATGGTATACAGAGTCTTAAACGAATCCTTACTGAGGTATCGGAACGCTCTCCGTAGGTTTGCCAGGCGCCCGTATGCTGCAGCAGTTATCTGATTGATGTGTGCCTCAGGAGATATGTTCGGTGTTATACTCACCCCCAGATCTTTTTCCTTGAGTGAGGTTTGCAGTCTTTGGCCATCTAAACTATATTGTGTCTGCGGTCTTCTTTGCCCTTCCCCAATCTTCATGACTTTGCATTTGGCAGGGTTAAATTCAAGGAGCCAGTTGCTGGACCAGGCTTGTAGCCTGTCCAGGTCTCTCTGTAGTCCTGCCTGATCCTCATCCGATTTGATTCTTCTCATTAACTTCGCATCATCTGCAAACAAGGACACTTCTGAGTCTATCCCTTCTGTTATGTCGTTCACATATACCAAGAACAGAACAGGTCCTAGGACTGACCCCTGTGGAACCCCGCTTGTCACAGGCGCCCACTCTGACACCTCGTCGCATACCATGACTCGTTGTTGCCTCCCTGTCAGGTATTCTCTGATCCATTGCAGTGCTTTTCCTGTTATGTGTGCCTGATCCTCTAGCTTTTGCAGTAACCTCTTGTGAGGAACTGTGTCGAAGGCCTTCTTGCAATCCAAAAATATGCAGTCGATCCACCCCTCTCTCTCTTGTCTTACTTCTGTCACCTTGTCATAAAACTCTAGTAGGTTTGTGACACAGGATTTTCCTTCCCTGAAACCGTGCTGGTTGTCAATTATACACTTGTTTCTTTCCAGGTGCCCCACCACTCTCCTCCTGATGATCTTCTCCATGACCTTGCATACTATACACGTTAGTGATACAGGTCTGTAGTTTAGTGCCTCATGTCTGTCTCCCTTTTTAAAAATTGGGACTACATTTGCCATTTTCCATACCTCAGGGAGTTGCCCAGTTTCAAATGATGTGTTGAAGTTCTTTGTTAATGGCTCATACAATATCTCTGCTCCCTCTTTAAGGACCCATGGAGAGATGTTGTCTGGTCCCACCGCCTTTGAGGTGTCAAGTTCGCATAGCAGCTTCTTCACCTCCTCCTTGGTTATATGTACCTCATCCAGCACTTGCTGGTGTGCCCCCCAGTTCTGATTTCTTGGAGTTCTACTGGTTTCCACTGTAAATACCTCTTTAAATCTTGTGTTGAGCTCCTGACAAACCTCTCGGTCGTTTCTTGTGAATTCCCCATCACCCTTCCTCAGTCTGATTACCTGGTCCTTGACTGTTGTTTTCCTCCTGATGTGGCTGTACAACAGCTTCGGGTCAGTCTTTACTTTTGATGCTATGCCATTTTCATATTGTCTCTGAGCCTCCCTTCTTATCTGTGCATATTCGTTTCTGGCTCTTCGGCTGATTTCTTTATTTTCCTGAGTTCTCTGTCTTCTGTACCTTTTCCATTCTCTAGTACACTTAGGTTTTGCCTCCCTACACCTTTGGGTGAACCAAAGACTCGTTCTGTTCTTCCCATTATTTCTGTTTCCCTTGGGAACAAACCTCTCCTCTGCCTCCTTGCATTTTGTTGCTACATAGTCCATCATTTCTTGTACTGGTTTTCCTGTCAGTTCCCTCTCCCACTGAATGTCTTGAAGGAAGTTCCTCATGCCTGAGTAGTTCCCCATTTTGTAGTTTGGTTTTTCCCAGCCTATTCCTGCTACTCTCTCCACTTGGAGCTCAACTATGTAGTCGAAGCACAGAACCACATGATCACTAGCTCCCAGGGGCCTTTCATACATGATACCCTCGATGTCCGAACTACTCATGGCGAATACAAGGTCTAGCCTTGCTGGTTCATCCTCTCCTCTCTCTCTGGTAGTGTCTCTAACATGTTGATGCATGAGGTTTTCCAGTACCACATCCATCATCTTGGCTCTCCATGTTTCGGGACCCCCATGGGGCTCCAGGTTTTCCCAGTCAATCTCCTTGTGATTGAAATCACCCATAACTAGTAACTTTGCTCCCCCCATGTGTGCTCTCCTGGCCACCTCGGCTAGTGTGTCGATCATTGCTCTGTTGCTCTCATCGTATTCTTCTCTTGGCCTCCTGCAGTTCTGTGGTGGGTTGTACATTACTGCAATTATCACCTTATGTCCCTCAGACTGGATTGTTCCTACTAAGTAGTCCCTTTCGCCCGTGCCATCCATTCCTTCCATTTTCTCAAAACCCCACTGGTTTTTAATGAGCAGTGCAACTCCTCCTCCCCCTCTCCTCCCTCTGTCTTTCCTGAGGATTTGATATCCGGATGGAAAGATTGAATCTGTTATTATTCTGGTGAGTTTTGTTTCTGTGAGTGCTATTATGTCTGGGGATGTCTCTTTGATTCTTTCGTGCCACTCCTCATACTTGTTTGTTATTCCATCTGCATTTGTATACCACACCTTCAACTTCTTTTCTAAGACTGTGGTCTGGGAGGTATATTGGGGTTGGGGAAGTGGGACACCTGGTAAGGAACTATGGGATGTTGCTGTGGGGGTGGAGTTTGTAATGTAGTGGGTGGGGGCATTGGATGTGGCATGGGTGTTTTGATTTAGAGTGTTTGGTTGCACTGGGGTTGACCTGGTTGGGAGGCTTCTATAG